GGACAGTTTGGCCAGTGCTTGCTTCTTCAACAGGGTGTTATATGTAGGAATAAAATTAGATTTATGTTTAAATCTGTGCTAATAAGTCAATAATATCTTTGGCATGAAGTTGTTGTAGGTATCGCTTGTTCACACATACACATTTTAAGTAGCAGGCTGTCTGTTGCCCCTCACAAGTCTATAGCCTCGGGCGTATTTGACTTAAGCATGTAATTTACATACTCAGCTCCAATTATGTGTCTGTTGCCACTATACCCACACACAATGAAGTAGTTCATTTTAGAAATCTGTTTCCACACAGTCAAGCTTTGGTCACTCATTAAAATTACAGTATATCATAGTAAACTGACCATATGTGTGAACGGGAGATTAGGAAAGGGTTAGTGGCCAGGAAATACACTGAGGGTCCTCGCAAGCACAAGAGCCAAATGTGTATGTGTGTGTGAGTGAATGTGAGATAGAGAAAGTGATGATAAAAGTGCAACAAGATCCTGATTTCTTTCAGCTTCTTCTGAGAAGCTACAGAGTAATGCCATCTGGGCCAGTCATTGTCCCTACACTGTTCCCCCCTCAGTGGAGGCTTGAGTTGTCAGATACAACAGAGCAGACTGTTGATTTAGGGCAGTGTGTGTGTATGTGTGTGTGTGTATAGGTGCGCGTTTGTGTGTGTAAAAGAGAGAGAGTGCAATACCCTGTGAGTTTCTGTAAGCAAAGGCGGCCTGGTGTGGCACATCTCCCAAACTGGGTCAGGTTACCTGTACAGTGATCGATTGTCTCTCAGCTTCCCACTTTGATAACCAGTGGCCAAAGAACTCAATCAAAGAGCACCCAGTGAGCCTGGAGACCAGGGGATATAAATCAAAGATAGAAGTGTTGCATTGATTGTTCAGACAATCAATACAGTACACATATACAACTCAATGCTCTTTGGGTCAGGCTTCATTTGGCTTGTGTTGCGTGAAGTGACATGGGAATAGATAGGGAGTTGCTCTGCTTGCATACATGCATGCACACACACACACATGCTCACACTACACTACCCAAAACAGCACATCCAAATATAGCCTATTGTCACTCTGTGGACTCAGCAGTCCCAAATGAATAGATGTTGGATCCATTGGAGGGTGGTGAGAACAGAGTGGAGAAGCCGAGAGGAGAGGAAGTGAGGAAAATAGGAGAACAGTAACAAACACAGCAATGTCTGTTTTGGTCTGTTTGTGCAGGATTATGGGAAGAAATAAAGTAATAACTGCAGCAGAAGTACAACAAGGTGTAAGAAATGAGAGTTGCTCAATTTAATGCTTGTTCTCTGTCCATCTACAGTCCCTAGATCTCCAGAGTATGTCAACAATTGCCTCCACAGAGACCAGGAGGAGAATCAAATCTTCCAGCACAATATGCCACCTAAGCCTAAGCCAAAATTATATATTTGAAATCCTTTCAAATATTTATTTTTTGTTTGATTGAGCTCTGGGCTCCACCTGAAACAATCTGAACAGTCTCCAAAGGTGAAATCACAGCCAATCTGGCATCCAATGTGCTCAAGGTAAAACAAAAAAAAGAAAGTATTTGAAGGCGTTTTTCATAGCGTAAAGCAAGGAACTGCTGGTCTTTCAAAGTCTAAAATAAATAATAAAATAGGTGAGTATACATTTTTAAATCCGTTTTGACTTCGGCGTGTTTTGAGCCGTGACCCTTTCTTCATCAGAGTGTGTTGCAGGGAGTTAAGCTTGTCTTTGAGATGGCCTGCAGAGTCTGCTGCAGAGATCCATAGCTGTGTGACCAAACCACTGACCTCCAACCCGCTGCAGTAGCTTTACAGCCCGGATCGATTCTGTGACCCTCCCTCCCTATCCTCCCTATCCTCCTCTCTCTCTGTCTCATCTTCTCTCCCTCCTTTCCTTCCTCATTCTATTCCATCCTCCTCTCAATCCGTCCCTTGTGTTAAAATGAAATAGGCTTGGGCTAGCTGTGTTTCCCCTGTTTAGAGTCAGACAGGTGTCCCCAGGGGAGACAGGCCTGTCGTTGAATGATCTTCCCCTGCTTTTATCAACACATCTCTGAGAGGGGAGAACGGAGCCAAGGAAAGTTTCCTCTAGTGTTATACTTGAATATGCTGTGACTTCTGTGCTTAAAAAGTTTTGGGAGGGCTCTTTCTAGGGTTATTCGATTGTGCTTATCATCAAGGTTGCACTAAATAAATCCTAATCTGTAGACTGTAGACTGCCTCCATTAGCATGAAAAATAAGTTTTAAATTAAAATTTGCTTGTACAACATACTTAAGTTGCAGAACATAATGTAATGGTTAATGCAATGTCTCAGTGAATTATCAGATAAAATCAAACAAGAAATCAGTATTTCCAAGGTCTTCCAGGACATAGGACTGTCCTGTGAGGATGTCTGACATCATGTAACAGATGGAGGACATAGAGACAGACAGAGGACATGTTAAGAATATCTCACAGGATGGTGTTGATTGTCGACACCTCAAGGCAGGATAAAATCCCCAATCAGAGAACACTGTCAGCCCAGAACTGACCAATGACATCTCAGTTTAATTGAATCGTAGTGACATTCTCTTGCATGGCAGCACTTATTCACTGCAGGAGAATGCACCACCCAAACAGTAGATTATTAGAGTCACGTTCAAGCTCAAAGTGGTTGTGTGTGTATGCGTGCGTGTGTGGGTTCGTGACTGCTGAATGGTTGTCGGTGCAGGCCAGCGTGTGTCCTCATCGTGTGAGAATGTGCACGCTCATCGAGCTGTTGACCTCAGTGGGGCATTACGCAGCCACAGATAATGAGCTTTAACGTTCTATTTCATCTTTCTCAATAAGGAGGTGCACAGCAGACACCTGAGGGCCTAAAGGTCAAAGAAAGCAACTCAGCCTGAAAACAGATTACACAATGCAGGCAAGCAGGTAATTATTAAGACAATCATAAATCGGAGAAGCAGCAATAGACTTTTCCTCCTTTAGCAGCATGGTGGTTGGATTTAGTGTTGGAGAGGAGGAATTGGGTTTTTGCCATTAACAATCAGCCTCAACAGCTGCTAACCTCTACGGAAACAGGATACATGTGCCACACCATAGATATACATCTCACAATGACATGTTGTGGCATGGCTAGTGTAGAGACAAACTCATGGTTTATCATGTATTAAACTTTGTTAATACTGGTAGTTCTCTTCTCTAAGCCTTGGAGAAAGGGCACATGGCTATATTGAGTTAATCCAGATGTTCACTTTTGAGCTTATTTGGTTTGAAAGATGGAATCATATGTAGGATTAACATATGTGTGTTTCCACATCACGAACTATACATGGCCAGACACATTCTCACTCCCAATTTATCAAATACAGTTGCTTGGTCAGACCCTATGCTTCAAACAGTGATGCTATAGTATCTTCTCTATCATCATTTTTGTGCTATGTGTATGTTTCAGCGGTCAAGTTAGTATATGGTTAGACATCTGGTTAGATTTTTTAAATAATGCTTTTGTGGTTAATATTCTGAAACAGGCGCGCTTTGGTTAGGTTTAGGCACAGAAACTACTAGGTTTAGGCAGTAAGTTGCATTCTGTACCTACCCTTCTGTAACTTATGTACATTATGTAAATGAACTTACACGCAAAGCCTAACTTAAAATAAGTCAACGTTGACTTTCGGTCACAACAGCGGTCCCTGGGTGAAAGTCCCCAATCTTTTCCATATGTGGAGTTTTTATACTTCTTCACCTGACTTCAACATCACGTCAAATCATTACGCCAGAGGGGCGCGCAGAAATGATGCTAGAGGGGTACCTACAGTGTCACAGTTTCATGCATAGGGCCACTGACCACGCGGTGGTATATGAAGAGTTGGGATTGAAAATGGGCTGCCGAAAGAGTGCAAAACAACAAGTAATGCAAAAGTGGCACAAAATGTTTTTACACTTGCAAAAGTTAAGTCAATATAGTAATATTCCGCAATGTGTTGGTTGTTTTATCCATCACAAATGTAGGCAGTTACTGCATGCAACGAACCAGGGACGGTGCTCACATCTTCCATGACTACTGAGGTTGGACAGCAATTTGGAGTACTAAATCCACCAACTCTGTCAAGACTCATCACTGATTGTCCCTGAATTGTATTAGCTGCCTAATCATCTGTCACACTGGGGCAAGAAAAAGTAGCCAAAAGTTTCCCCTTCTGATGATTCTCACATCATGAGTATTATTTTTAGTATTGAGCTTTCAAGGGTCTAACACTTGGTCGGACTCCATTAGGCTCATAAATGAGCTTTTAAATGCTTAGAATTATTCAAATGTTGCACATTTTTTATGCTATTAGACTAATGAATGCAGAGCATATGTCCTTCAACCGGCTGGATGTGTATCCTACTGACGGCCAGACATGGTCTGGGGGGTAAAAAGATCTTGACAGCTGATTTGGCTGATAGTACAACTGCTGTGTTTCACCTGCTCTCAGCAGCACTAACACAAGGAAACATGTCACGGCTGGGTAGGTGTGAATTGAATCCAGCCGCTTGAATCCAATAGAGGCCCCATGCAGCCAACGTGATCCACTAATGTTTTGTTCAGCTTAATTGAGCGTTGTCCCTTCAACTTAGCCTCACATCTTCATCCTGTGTCTAATAGCCACAGCTTCCCTGAAAGTCTAATTACTTCACTGGCAAAGTTACAGCAGAGAAATATACAACTTTAGGATGACATGGGAGGGAGAAAATTACAGTCAAACAGGAACTCTCTCTCTAACGCACAGATTCAATTTTCTTTTTTCTCATTTTCCATGAATATAAGAAGATGATAATGAATCTTCAGATGTGTTTGGCGGTTGCTTGTCTTATACACACAGCACTAAAATCTGTCCATCAAACCAACAAAACAAGCTAGAATGCACACAAACACAAACACACAGACGTGCATGCACATACAGTACAGTATACTCTTCCTTTGCCCTTTAGACCCCCCCGCCCCCCATAATTTCCCTCTCCTTCACCTGCAGAGAGAGTCCAGGCGGCAGACCTTCCGTAGCTCCAGACAGTTGGGTTTCTCCTTATCTTTATAGGAGCAATCAGGCACGATTGTCTGCCTGCGTCGTTCTGCGCATCCCTCACTCTGGCAGGGGCAGAAGAGCAACCGGTGGCTGTACTCAAGGGGCACGCGATCCAGGAACAACCTCAGAGCTTTGTGACAGCGCTTCTTGTTGCAGGTTTCACCCTTGTTGGGGTCCTCCTTGCTGCAGGTAGCGATGTAGGCGGAGCGTTGCCTCTTGCAGCTGCCGTTGAGGTTGCAGGCTTTGGCTGCATCGAGACAGGGGTTGCAGTTTCTCTCACCATCGAGACATTGGAAACCTTTTGGGGCCACTGTGAGCATCCCTGACAGTGGATATGAAGAAGAGCAAGAATTCAGTGACTTTAGGTCAAGGGAAAAATAGTTATACAGTTCTATTGAGTCTCACAATTAACTGATACACTTGAAATGCTCTTTTGGATTTCAGTCTTACATGTATTTCCAAAGAGGAGTGAATAGTTTGAAATTATAAAGCTACCTTTTTGATGATTTTCAGTATTCAAGCAAATATAACCTGACTCAAATACAATAACAACAGATGGATAAAAATCTTTCCACTGATCTTCTGACTCAACATCATCAATCTGATATAGTTTACAGTGTGCTCAGCTGCAAAGTACAGTCAACAAATAAAACAATAATCCTTGCATCTCCACCCATAGGGGAGTTCAGTGCAAATGTTAGACTCGAGCGCTGAAGGAGACTCTTCAATATCATCTGTGCTTCTATGTTTCATCAACCAACAGCAAGCCACTGGAGGAATGCCTGCAGCTAGCCCACATCCACTCTAACTGAATTATTGATTCAGTCTGTTTCAGACCTTGAGTGAAATATGAATGAATTAAGCTATGATTCCAAATTGGATGTTAATACATTATTCATTTCCAGGTAATACCAAAACGTGATCATTATAATATTAGTCCATTATCAAGTTTCCGTAGCAAGTTACCTTGATTTAATACAAATTATATTTATTTACAGGTTTTTGTTGTTTGACTTATAATGGAGTAAACAAGATATTTTAATTAGTCTCATGGAAATAATGTAAGTACTTGGGGAAATATTGATGAGAAAGCTTATTGATGTGAACACTGGTCAGTGGGAAACACTAAATACTGTAACATCTGCCCAAAACGTGCTAATCTCAAGGATTTGGCAAAGACTCCAAGATGAAATACACGCTGTGCTGTATGATCCACTTATTGGATGGTTCAAGTACAAGATTAAGTTCCCTTTTTTCAGTGTAATCAAAAACTGAAACATTGCAATTACCCCTCAGGCTGCACATCATATTTGTGGAAAACAGATTATGTCATTAGGTGTGTCTGTGTGTTCTGAGGTGCTACATATACCACAGTGCCTGTATAAAAACACACCTTTTCCCGGGATATACCAGTAATAAAGCAGGATCATGTTCACTTGTGGCATCCCTCTCTTGTATTCAGGCTATATTAGAGAAGTTAACCTCCCTCCCCTGTAGATAATGATATTTCAGAGGTCGTAGCGGCATGGTGACACCCAGAGAGATTCATCTCTTATTCAACAGAACCAATCTCACTCTGTGTCTATCAGACAGCCTGGAGCAGAAGGAAGACCATTTATTTTAGAGGGGTGTGCTAGAGATGCTGTATTGTTTCCAAGTGGTGCATCGCACGTTATCAATCCTAGAAATGGGGATACGTAAAACACATCACATCACAACAGGGGGGAAAAAATAAGCAAACACCAAAAATTTATGATTTTGTAGTTCCAGATCACGTCAGATAAAACACAACTCACTGCCACTGAAGAATAGCAGAGGCGGAATATCAGGAGTTCATCACAGAAAGAAGAAAGCACACTTAATCTAGCTTTCTGTTAACCAGGGCTTTCATTTAGATGTATCAAGGTTAAATGTTGCAGGCGCTCTGATAAACAGGCAGGGTGTTAAGAGACATGTCCTGAGTTCAGTAGGTGTAGCTGTTCAAAGTAGTACTGTCTTTTTAAGTCAGTTCGTCACAGGCCACCAGGGAGAACATTTCCCTCTTTGTTCAAATAATAAGAGCATTAACTTTTATGACTCTGATTAAAATAAGACATCATTGTGTCATCAAATGAAACTTGTTTATCCTTTCACTCTCTGAGGGGAGAGTATAAACACTTCACAACCGATGTCTGGCAGCATAACAAACTCAGTCTTGTTAGTGTAAATGACTGAAAAGGCAGACAGAGTATACTCAGATCATTTACTTGTGTAACAGTAACAAACATCAAACCTCATAGGCAGGAAGCTATGGTTAACTGTTGGTTGATCTGTAAATTACAATGAGACTCAAAAAGAGAGCTGACTTTTAGCACTGGGCATGAAGAGGCCAAAGTAGGGCCAAAGTTTTACTTAAGTGGGCCAAGCTTGGCTGAAGCGTGCCTGAGAGGGGGGACGGTGCGGTCCAGCTGGAGGAGAGGTTAGCGGGGCGGCTGTCCAGTGGTTCAGGCTACATTACATTGATGGATTGCAGCTCCTAAATCTCCCCTGGCCATCTGCAGGCTCTAATGTGGGCCACTGGGGGGTCCAGGTTGAAAAGAGTATAGGAGAAGGATGAGCTACTAAGATTTATCTGACCAAGCAGGGCTGAAGCAGCTTTTGAGGCTGCAGCGATGGACGGGTTTTTACTACCTCTGATTGGGGAGCTGAGATTGAATTTGGTGCTCAACCCGAAAAGATGTCCTGGGGCGAACATAAGACACAAAGCCCACTTGATGGCTCTGACGTGCTTACACACAAACAGGATGGTAGCAAGAGCAGGAGGAGAAGAGGAAGGAAGCAAAGAAGTGAAGATGGGTGGGGAAATTTGCAGTATTGTGTTACAGAGTAATAATTGATTTTCCAAGTGCATTACAATGAAGGTCTTCAGCAAACATATTCTGCTATAATGGGAGGAGAAAGGGGTTGATAAGCTAATGATATGAGACTTATAAAAATGGAAAAAGCTTTAGGATGGGAGAGGAGACTTGAGCAGTTGATTACAGCAGCTGATCATGACAGATAGAGAGTTGAAATGAGAGGACACAGACTAACAGATTGGACAGCCACTTACAGAGACATGCTGGAGAGCTCTCAATTAATCCAGTCTAATTCAGGAAAGATGTGCGACTCTTGCTGAGAATAATTAACCCAGCCCATCAGCATCACAATAGTTTACACATATCTATTAACGTACCTTGCTGGCTGTTGTACTATACATTAATGAGCAAGCGAGGTACTGCCTGAATGAATGAACAGATAGACGGGCGAGTGGGCGCATTGATTGATTAATGGATGTAATAAACACAGAACAATCAGTGTCATTGAGTGCAGGAAAATTCATAAATAATGTTTTCCCCATTATATCATGGTACTTGTTGGCTGCAGAATGAACAAATATGTGTGCAGAAATGTTTTTAAGTGTGCATGTAGCGCAAAGTGACATATCAAATTAATATGGGGAATAGAAAACATGAATTCAAGAAAAAAGTTTCAATTTGTCTTAGGTTGTTTACTCACAAGTGCCTCGTGTGCATCAGAAAATGTGGCCTCATAAAATTTAACAGCAGTTAAAGCATCGCCATTGCTTTTGGTGATCTTCCTGTTTGACTGTAAATAGGCTTTTAATAGGGCTCTCTACTCTATGGGCTTCATAAATTAGACCCCACTGATGGCAATGCAGTGGAAATAACCATCTATTCTTTCTGCACATATAGCACACACAGAGAGAAAGAATTAGGGGGAAAGGAAAAAAGAAAATGAGGTGAGAGAGAAGCAGAGAGGTAAAATGAAAGATAGGAGACACCTATAGGGAGACAGGCTGGGAGATACAGAAAATTACCTAAGACCTGTGTTCCGGTGAGACAATAAGACAGAGAGATAATAAAGAGAAAGAGGGAGGTGAGGGAGGTGGACAGAGCACATACGAATGAGAAGAAGTGGATAAAACGTTCACATATACCGTTTCTGGATTTGATGCTTTTTTTCCCAACGAGTAAGGGATCTTCCTTCCCCAGCAATTGCTCTCCATCAGCCTAATTTGAATTCTGCATTTCATATATCATCCCATACTCAAGGGACGCTGCGCTGCAGAGGGGAGTTCAGCCCAGGTTAGGAAGAGGCTCTTGGCTTCGGGTATGTTCTCAGTAATTAGGAAAGGTGCCAAAGTTTGGATTTAATACGGCCTTGGGTGAGTGTGCGAGAGCTTGTTAGGGAAGTCTTTAGTCTGGACCCCGAGGAGCATGTCAAGCATTTCCGTGTCAAAGGGCTCATCAGTCATTAGCTCTGTACTGTGTGTTGCAGCAGGGTTTCCGGAGGCGAGGAAAAGGGTGTACTGGATCTACAACATCATCTCCCTAAGCCTTACTGAGCAAGTTAGACGCATAGACGTCATCAGAAGAAGACCAGCAGAGTTTAAGAAATCTTCTGTTTTCAGGGATCAACTAAATTTTACCTCTAAGCAGGAAATTATTGCTGCAAAATAAACCAGCATGCAGATGAGAGAGACTAAGGGGACATGGAAATGATGAGAGAAGACTAAATATTTGTATGTGAGAATAAATGTGTGCATGCGGAGGTGGGAAACGGGTGTCCAAAGGAATTTTAAATCATTGTAAACACACTTCTAAATACTTGAGCTGTTTATGAACGTCTGCCTTCAAGTTGAGCTTCCTCTGGTGAAATTCAAAGCTTGAGCATCCTCAGTGGCCCCCTCAGTCTTAATATGCATGCTTTTTAGCTCCAGCCGTCACTGGGAGTAATGCATAATGTATTAAAATAACCTAACAAGATGTGTGTGTCAGGTGAACCTACACAATATTTTATCAATAATCTGCTTCATTGTTACCAGCATGCAAGTCGGGAATAACTAAACGTACAAACAAATTTAAACAACAAAAATCTTCTGTGGATTATTCACTGTTGTTTAATTCAAACTTGTTAGAAAAACGCTGACTATTACAAAGAGTCTCTGATAAGTGAGCTTCGAACAACAACTCTCATTAGTGACCCACAGAGAGAGACAAGCTGAGGCTGGACTAAGGGTAAACTGATTAGAAAATTCACACAGAATAATGAAGCATATAAACAAAGTAATGTAAATATACACAGGCACAATCACAAGAATACACAAAACCAATCTTGCACAAACAAACACATGCACAAACACACTCAGAGCCCTAATAACCAAAACCCCTGCTGAACGCATGCAAAAAAAGATCTTAGTGTTTGCCTAAGTAATAGTAATTGTTATGAGGACAATGTGAAAATGTCAAACATTTCAACAGCATGCTGAGCACGGCTGTTGCACTGGTCCTTTTCCCCTAGCTGTAGAAACAGCTTTCTGGATTTAATTGGATGGTGGGCACACTGAGCTGAGAGGTGAGAGGCTTAGTGCTGAGAGTTGGAAGGTCTAACTAAGGGATGTTAAACTTAATTCCTGTAGGGACCCCTGAATGCAGGATTCTACACTGCCCTCTGCTCCTAATAAGTTAATTAGCCCAGCGCTGGGTCAAGAGAACAGAATACATTTAACATGGAGCATATTAACAGTTACAGACAATGATAACTTTGCTGTATGCCGTACATAATATGCCACTCATTTGGGCTTTGATAAGGGTCCTGGTGCATTGTGGGGAAAGGACTCATTGCCACATTGTTCATACATGATGTCTTATTGATTAGATGGCTACTGACTTGTACAGAAACCAAGAAAACGTTTTCACTATTTTCTGATATTTTATAGACCAAAGAATTAATTGATTAATCAAGAAAATAAGTTGCAACCCTACTCCAATCAATGAAAGGTTTCTACGTGCATCAAACAAACTAGCAGGATCGCGTCAGGCACCAAAGGTTTCAGTATTCATTTTCTGAACTAACTAAACTTGGTGCAGTGAGGAGATGTCTGTCACTGGCAGGTTGGGGGAATGTAAACAAGACAAATGTGCCTTCCCGTAGCATCAACATGCTTCATCTTTTTGTTTGATTTTGTTAGATTCCCACTGGTGTTTGGTCCAATTTGATTAGAACAGGGAAAATATGCATTAATAATACTTATTGCGCTGAATTCTTACCGCAACTAAAGGGGTTTTGGAGTAGAACACCGATTATAAATAGATTTCCTCGGGGAAAGACTCACTCAACACTCCCTCTCATGTGGTGATGAAGAATTTTCCAATGACAAAAAGTTACATGTGTGTGTTTTTCTTTTCGTAAAGGCTAAATGTACAAGCTTTCCACTGAAGACAATATAACTACTGTCCCACAATGTCAAGTGAAGACGTAATAGTGGTTCAAGAGGAGCTCTGGTTTGTGTTCTTAAAAACATAAAGGAACAGGCTAAAAAAACATGTGTGTGTCTCTCCTTTGACATGATTAATCCTGTAATTGAAAAAAAAAAAATCCAATATGTAATATATGATTGTATCATGATGCACTGGATTGGATTTCATGCCAGCTTAAATACAAAAAAACCCAAACTACATAGGTTAATTAAATGGTGAGAGGTAAAAAAAACAACAACAATATTGTGCGGAGCTCATGTTAGAAACAATGTGGTTATTGTACATATTTCACTTTTTGAGTTTCTGAACAGAGAGCACCTGTGAAGTGCATTTTAAATGCATCCTTTAAATTTGCAGCAATATTCTTTGCTTGTTTCATTGGAGTGGTTTTTATTGTGACAGTGCTACTACAGCTTAGACACTGATAATAAGGGTTAAAGTTGTCTAATCTCTCTCTCGCTCAGTCACTTGCTCTGTCACTCTCTGCAGAGGCTGAAATATATATTTTGTGTTGCTGACCATACTGTGCACAATGCAGCTGTCAAAGCACTCCCAAAGGAGAACACCAATGTTTTTAACAGCATTCCTATTTGCTGGTAAGCAGGGGTCAGTTCCACTTCCAATCAGCTGTCAGTATTGTCCTATTCATGTTTGCTACCATATACAGTCCTCTGCTCTCTTCCCGTATAATCTCCATCATCAGATAGCCATACCCTCTGCCCTGACACTGACAGCAAGATATAGAAATGTGTGAATTTATGTCACAGGTCACAGGAGGAAACAACACTCAGCAATAACCAGCCTGCTTAAGCGGAATGGAAAAAATTGGGCAGATGTGCAGCATCACACCTAATGACAATCGGTCAAAATGTGTCAGAATCCATTGGACACTGCACTTCTTGGATGGAATGGCAAAAACATTTCTTCCAGATGATCAACTGGGCTGTGTGTCCATCTAAAGCAGTAATGTGGAAAGGTCTATGGAAAAGCTGAGTAGCGAGAACCTTCTCTCCAGAAAACAATATTTCCTGCACCTGGGAACCAGAGTACCATGACAGTAAGCATTTTTCATGCAACCTGGTAACCTCTCTGGCTTCTTTACCTAGCTACCACAACTTCCACACCTTGTCACAGGACAAATTACACATACTATCACCCTCACCCTTTAGTGAAGATAGGCGTGGCACACAGAGGTGGATGAAAAGGGCTTGAAAGACCACACTGTGCCCCACTGTCATCACAGCAAATGGATCAGTGGAAAAAGGCCCACTGAAGTCGACGAGGACACTCTAGCCCTGGATGCCACTGTACTCAGCACTGAGCTGAAACACTGCTGATGCAGGTGCACAGTGCAAGCCAAACCATGGGCAGGATGGGCAGGATTCAATGCTGTCTTTCTAACGAAGCCATGCTTGGCTATACTGTCAACACCGAGGGGACAGACTCCACGGGGTTAAATATGCTCCTTGTCTTTTTGTCTGTGTGTGTACAGGGCATGCACATGCTCAGTTTAAAAGATATGCAAAAATGAATGGTTAAGACTACACAGTCCCGATAGAAGGAGAAGCCTATGTGAAATAGTTTTGCAGGTATCATCACTTTGGGCAATACAGAAACAGCGTCTCCATATGGTTTCTTTAATTTTAACTTCCGACTGAGACTGCATACAGTAGTATAGAATTATTTTTCATTTCTATCACAACTTCTGTCCCTTATCTTCCTCCCAGACAAAAACTTTTAAAATAGCAGAGATTATTTTTCAATTCCCTACCTTTCCTCTTGGAGAGTATACATTCCCCTGTCCTCATCAGCCGACCAGATATCATATATTCCCTGGGTCTCTATACAGTTTAACATTTATAGACGTGATTATGAATACTTTTGTGTGGTTTAGTGATCGAAATGAGAAGTATCTCCATAAAACAAGTGTGTAATTACTTATCTGTTTGCCTGTGGTTTTCTCTCAGCGCCACAATCAATTACTCTGTCCTCAGAAATGATAAATAATGAGGAAAGCTTGCGGCTAAACAGATTTCAGAGAGCAAATCCAATATTTCACCTCGGAGAGAATGGAGGAAACAGCTGAAACAAAATGGATACAGTAATGAGTCCCCTGTTGTATCTTAATATGTCTTGGTACACTGCACTGAACTCCTTGTTTTACCCGGGCACTTGTATTCATACACTGGTGGGCAAAAGACAAGCGTCTGTCCTCTTTGATTATTATCTTGCTTGACCGTTAGTTAGCAAGGCATCTCAAACCTAATAAAAATATGTCAATAACATTTTGGAAATTATGGCCATGTGCCAAGAAAGAACTGTTTTTTGGCACGCATGTGATGATTGATTTAGAAAGTACTTCCTGTTTTCATTCGTAACGTGCTTGATTCTGTCCAGGTATATTTCTTTGCTCTTTCTCAACCATTTCTTTAACAAATGTCATCCAGCCATTACCAAATTTGGTTCATAACATATTCAAATGAAAATGTAGATTTTTGATATTGCATTTTTGACAGTTATAGGTGGCGCTACAACAACAGGATAAATTGAAATGGCCATAACTCAGTGATCATGAGACTTACTCACTTGAAAGTTTATACTTGTACAAAGCCTTACTAAAACTAATCACAAATCAGCAAAATTGTTTTGACTATAAATATTTTGGTACGGATCTCAAATCCAGACGCAACTTCTAAACATTTTCAATCATTAAAATATCAAATTTTGAGGATTCTGCAGCCTTGGTGGAAGTGTGCGCTTTTTGAGTGCTTTCTAGATGAATACGCACTTAAATCAGGGAAGGCAGTTTGCCATCATTTCTCCAACCTCTAAAGTAATCAAAGCCTGCACTTTTTCACATTCATTGGTACTCTTTCCTTTCTTTTAACATATCAAACAAACACATTTTCAAAAACAAGTGATACACTGCTGATTTCAAGCTAAGGGGATTATGCAGAAAGCATGTCTTTCTTGTACCTCCCAGTTATAAAACAAAGCAAGATACATCAGCCAAAAGAAAAGAAAAATGTGCTGTCTTCAGTGTTTGTAGATTGCTTTTGGCAAAAAAAGACACACAAAAAAATAGAAGAGAACATCCTCCGGAAATTTCTGTCAGAACTGAATGAAAGAAAGTGATTGAATTTTCAAGTGACTGTAGCCTGTAGCTTTTTCAATGGACAAGAGTCTGTGTCCAATCACACCAATTGTACAACTTGTTTCTCTGAACTGCATTAACCATTGTAGATGTGTCTTATAATAAGATCTCCATTGATTTGTGATACCATGATGGTAATAACCAGTAAATTAAATAGCAGTCTATAGCTCCCCTGTTGAGTGCTGGGCTGTTTAATTAGTAAACCAATGAGGAAATTAAACTAAAACTAAATCAATAGCTGGGAAAATGTGGGGTAGTACACTGAGAGTACATAGTTCACCTTACAAGGCCGTAACAACCATAATATTTCACAAGACAGATCAAATGATAAGCATCCAATTTATTCAGATGCCAAGGACAGTTGACTGGTGGAATGCCAGTGGGGAAAGACACTGGCTCTTTGTTATTTCTCCCCTATTTCACCCTTCTCTTTAACAAATATTTCCACTCATATAATAAATCACAAAATGTTCAGTTAAAATCACAACTGTACCTGAAGAGATGGAGGCCAAGCGGAATGCGTCAGGGTGTCGGTTTGGTGCTACAGGTTCATACGGGGATGAGTCATCCATGTCTCCACCTGAAACAACAGTAAAGAGATTTATTAACACCCGTTCATGACCTGCTCTGTACTTTACCCTCCTTGCAAAGCAGAGCATTAGAGCGTTTCCAAAAAATTAGAACAGAAACAAGCCTATGCTATCAATAATCATTAGAAAACATATGTAGGAATGTGTTTTAGCTCCAACAGCCATAAAAACAGAGAGGAAGTTCAATTCATGATTCCTTTTTGGAAGCACTGTAATAAGTAAGCTTTTTTTTATATTTGATGGATCGACTGAATGTTTTGGATTTAAATAACATTATAATGTAATAATATAATTTCCCAGTGTTGGCCAACAACCGAGGCAACCCACTATGAACAATTTTTATTTCTTTCATATGGAAAACAGGATGTTCATCATGGTCAAATCATTTCCTTTTGGAGAGAGTATTTGTTCCTGCTGTGGTTTGATTTGGGGAGCAGCTGAAGGACTAAAGAACAAGCATTGCATCCTTCCCTGTTAACAATGTAGTGCCAGAGCTGTTTGTAAAAAAAAATAAAAAAAAATAAAAATCAAATTAGCACTCAACTGACTGAGTCTCCCCCATGTGCCTGCTTCTCTGTAGGCCCTAATCCCGCATTTAAAATTCACAGCCATTCGGTGTGATTGAGACAAACCCTCCAGTGTGTAATAGCTTTGCATTCTGATCCCAACAGAAACACAGTGAGGGTGTTGTGAGGAAGGTTTGTGGCCCTGCTGCTACAAATGAGAAAATCCAAAACTTGTTGGTATAAGATCGTGCTACCTAGACAACCAATCAGTAGATCCAATCAATAGATATAGTACATTTTGTTTATCAACATCCTCATAGGATGCGTTCAAAAAAGATGATAGAAGCTGATAAAATATTGTCTTGTAGCTGCTCTGATAATAGGTAAGGCTATTGTGGACGGTGTATGTGTGTGTGTGACTGTGTTTACCAGTACATATAATACACTTTAATCAATGTCTCCTGTGAACATATTTAATCAACAAGTAAGAGTCAAAATCAGAAATAAAAGTCATGATAACATCAGCTATGTGTTGCTACTTCACTAAAGGTGGAATGCAAGTTATACAAGTTGAATCTGTCCATTAAAACTAATCAAAAACAGGAAGATAAGTACATGTGCACTGGCACATGGTAAAACGGAATGTCTAAAAAGGAATTACTAAAGGGAATATTCTATCATAATTTGTCCACAGAGGAAAGAAAACCAACCCCAGACTTGTGTACATCTGCAGTCATTGCTTTAGGTCTAGTTCTATATTGCCCCTCTCCATCAATATTAACAATCATAACAAGATGGAGCAGCTCAGCTGGCCATTCTCTGAACACATATAGCTATTGACATCTGGCACAGTTGAGGATAGTATGTGCGTTTGACATGGACAAAAAAGAGAAGAGAAGAATCAGACTGGAGACACAAAAGAGAGAAAAGAAAAGACAGACAAAGAGAGAAAATTGGAGGAGAGACAAGTTATACAATAAGAGAAAATATTATTAATCCTTCAAGTTTGAGCGTAGTATATGGGACATTCTTTCTTTGTTTGTGTATTGAAAAATAAGCTTGCACATGAATTTATTGTATATATAAGTATAAGGGTATAAGTGTATAAGTATATTTTGGTGTTTATTTTTTCATGGTTGTCTCTGCATCATCCACATCTCCGTTCATGTTTCTGTCAAGAGAGAGGAACTTGAGAGGCTGCCGGACTCGAGCTCTCTCAGTATGTCTAATTACAACAATTATCTTCTAAAGCTATAGTGCTTTAGAAGCCTCTCAAGAGTTCAAGACTACCACTTACTCAGCAAACAACCACCTTAACCCTCCTTCCATGTCTTTTTTCAGCCACAGACACAGTTACTGTGTATTTCAAAAAAAGAGGCAAATATTTCACAGGAAAGCGTAATGCTTCCTTCAGTACACCAAGAACACGTTGTACTACACAGAGCAAAATGGAATAAAGGCTGCCCTATCTTTTGCCAAAAGCAAAACATCTTGTTGTGAGGTTGCTTACCATTTTGTTCAGGCAGCTTCTAACACTGGTTAGAAGCTTCACTGCATAATCAGCCGGGAATCAAACAGTGTTAAGGCACATTAAATTTCGTAAGTACACTGTACAGTGTGTGCTGTGGTGATCCTATGAAACAATAATGTCCAACCACAACAGCAGCTGTAGTTAATGAATTTTAAAAGCGTATTTACATGGATGTTACAAGCCGTGCTGAATCATAAAATTGCAAAACACACTATAATCACATACACCCTTAGGATGTGAAGAACTCCACAGCAGGAAGCCTTGTTGTACTTTAAGAAAACTGCTCTTTGACAGTCACCCTGGACCCAATTATGCATTCATAATAGAAAATTCTTCCCAGCTGTTTAGTGATAAGATGTTTTTAGCCACAGGGCAACAACTTATCGCTGTAATTAAGCCTCCGTTTGACTTCATTTGCTCTGACAGTATGGAGCATGACCGGCACAGCTTAGACAGACAATCAGGTCTTTCCCTAGTTACAGCATGAGAGAAATGCTGCCTTTAAGTGGATTCACGATTTTCTCCTTAGCCATAAGGGGTTTTATGAAGCCATTAGGTGCCATCCCTCATCCTTTTCATATGCATTATCAATGAAGCTCAACTCCTGAGGTGATGGAAGCTGTCCCATGGATTTTTTAGTGACATTCTTGGCAAACCGTTTACAGCTGTAAGCAAAGTCAATTTTAATAACTGTCGTTCACCTTGTTTTGTTTTTTAAAGGTGCCCTATATTGATTGTGTTCCTGCTTGACACTGATTTTATATGGTTCCCTATATTTGCTGCGGGCAACGTTGGAAAAAAACTAAATGCTCCTGTTACATATGACTTTTTATTTAAATTATAACAAAATATTGCAACACTGCTTCTGTTCTTATATTAATCACATACAAAGAAAGCTTAGCACAGCTTGGGCAGCCTGGAGCACAGCCGGAGGTCCTTAGCAGAACCCTGCTGGTTGTTTCACAAACTCAGCTGGTAACAAAAGGTGACCGAGCCTTTTCTGTCAGAGATCCCAAAGTTTGCAAATGAGCTGTCAATGGAGATAAGGCTAGCCAGAACACTTTCCTCTTTAAATTACTTCTCAAAGCATTTTTATTACATTAGGATAAATGCATTAATCCTTCCACTCAGCTTCCTTCCAAATTGTGTTCATTTCAACAAAGAAAAGATAAAGTGGAGTGATACCACAAATGCATCTTTCTTCAAATTGTGCTTAACAGAACACAAGTTGAGACATAAATTCAGTTAACGGCTCAGCTTTTGAAGTGATATTGACATTTTAAACTCAATTTCAAACCATCCAAATAGAATATTGGATTAGCTCAGAATAATATTTCAAGTCACAATTCCAATCCAGCGTGGCGTGGTCGGCAAACACAGCTGAGAAAATGAGTGCTAAAATTTCCAGCCTTCCCTTTGGCTATGTGACTGTAATGTTAATATGAATAGTTACACACTCGCTTACCTAAATCAGCAGTTTAATACCTGGTGTCAGGTACTAAATGTTGAATATGGTGTAAATCCTGCAAAATTTAAGCTAAGTAAAAACTGCTATCATCTTTATGGCATAGCATATTGGGGAGACCATTAAAAACAGGCAGCAGGCAGCAGCCCAATATATCAGACTCTCACCATTTTATATTTTATATCAATATGAATGAATAGAAAACCCCATTGGAAGATATACATTTACAACAGCTTAAATAGTCAATATTAAGCAAATTAAATATTTACTCTAAACATGATTAGTTCTGCTGCATTGGTAACTGAGGGATGACAACCCAAATTATTAATCTAACTGCATAAATTGTGTTTGACTCCTGGTTGTGTTTTGAATTCCACCATATGGAAGAAAGAATACTTGACTGACTTATTTCAACAAGTACCTACGTCAATTAATGATGTAGAGAGTGTGACAAAGAGTGACAGAAAAAGAGAGAGAGAGAAAGATAAGTAACCATACTGTGATGACAGCCACCAGGCCTGGTAGTTGACTTTTGCGATGCACATTCATTCAGCGCCGCTGCGAACCTTTCTGCCAGGAGTGAGTTTAATGCCCACATCATGACAGTATTCACTGAGCAGAATGGCCCGTCATTCACTCTCCCGTCTGATAGAGAGCCTGAGAACTCACTCTGCTATAAAAGGCTAATCTAAACCCCGCTACCTGGCCCTCATTTCGGCCGCACTGTCACTCTCTATAGCAGCCTCATAGTGAATGGGAGTCATCTCGGGCAGTTCACCTTACAGTATAGAAAATCATTAGACAGATTTATGAGGACAAACAGCGGCTTTTTTGTCATCATATTTCACTGATCCTTTTCACATTTTCAGACGAAAGATGAAAGGGGAGAAGGAGGAATGAAAAGGACGAGGAGGGGAAGGCTCTGAAAGACCTTATTGATCACATCCAGAAGCTATCGACAGGTCCCTTCCTCTGATGATGAAGTAGCCACCTAGCGAGTGCCGACCAGGTCCCCAGTGCAGGGAGGGAGAAAGCAGAGAGGACATATTCAGCATGCAGGAGCCCGCTTCCCATATCCCCTGACATGTGGGGCAGGCTGGAAAAATGTTCTGCTTATGACAGTGGATGGCTAAGGTAATGGCCGGTGACTGCTACCATTGCTCATAGTAATGATGGTTTCACCCAGGAATACTGTGTACCTTTGTAGCCCCCCTCCTCTGTCGTTTCCCCCCCATGACTCCCTCTTTCTTCCTCTCTCTTTTCTTCATTCTTTGGTTTTCTCTCTTAAATTTTCTTCCCCCCTCATCATCTATCTACCGTTCTGTCCTCACCTCCTGTCCTCACCTCCTGTCCTCTCTCTTGCTCTCTCCATTTCTCTTCCTCCCTGTCTTAGTCTGTCATGATGTGCACAGCATTCTTACACTGTCCATTTCATGTCACTTCCCACAGCATTAGGGGCCAACTTGTGGTATTAGCATGATGCAGTGACATATTCAGAGACTGACCTTTGCAACGCTGACATTCATGAAAATGGAGAAAATAAATCATTCCAGAAAATTGTCTGATACTCTCATCACTTCGCGTAAAGATACAGCCTCCTCTCACAATGAGCTAGAGCAGACTTGTGTGGAGCACTGGTGGCGCTATCCTTTCTCTCTCTGCAGTGAAAGTTGGCTCAGCTAATTAAACTGCTCTGAAAGGTCCTCACAAAGGATCTTCGATTCCTACTTTGAGACCCAGTCTATGGTTTCGTAGCTGAGGCTATGAAATAATGTATGTTGGAGTTGTGAAACTTATCGTTTAAATGACCAATTCTACTGCCACCTACAAGGCTATATCCACATGAGGCCCAGAGCACAATTGAAAGAGAACCGTAGCCATCTATACAATATCCCTGTGTGTAGCAGCCAATGTTTCTTTCTTAGTAATTACTTCTTTTATAGATTCAAACTGCTAGACCTCATTGCCTCACACCGACACAGGCTCATTCAGAGCAGAAACCACCCATTATCCATCAAGGACAGCTGCATTGACACATTGAATTCAGCTGCCATTTTCCGTTAGAAAACACAATTAACAGGTCATCATTAGCACCATTACTGATGTCTGAAAGACTAGCAATATAACACCCTTACCCTTTAGTCCATGGTGATCTCAAACTGCAGGCCTGGGGGCCATTTCCAGCCCTCCATCTCTTTCCCTCCGGCTCAAAAATATAATATAATCTGGCCCGCAAGATTACTCTTTATATATTTATATATCTATTTCTGTAGTTGTTCCATATCAATTTAAACTACTCCTTCATATACAATTAAAATAAAAAGACAGTTTAAAAAAAGGGTCGGACCTTCTTTTGCTGTTTGGCTGCGGACAACAAATATGATATAAAATCATGATATAAAAAATTATAAAAACTGTTGTTTTTGCATTTTTTTTGTTAAGTATGATGTAAGTAATGGAAATAGTTTCAGAATACTGCGTTTTCTTGTAGTACTTTAACATTGAAGTGGCTCTCCTATGAGATGACGATACCAGCAATTGTCCTATGCCAATTTGAGACCCCTGCTTTCCCACATCATAGTGGCCGGGTTCCTACCGGTAAATAATGCCTTCTGAAATTGAAAATGCTGCAGAATCGTAGCTGCCAACACCTGCTGAAATGTGTCAAAATTATTTCTGCTGGTATTTCAACAAGACACATCAAGCAACACTTGATGACGGTACTGAGTCACGTTGCTGTCGTACTGAGGCTGAGTCTGTAAAGTGTTTTCTCAGCAGCAATGCACTGTTTCATCACACACATTGTCGACTTTCAAAGATTCAGGCCTCTCGCTGGACTTGTGTAACTGGAGAGACTCATGCAGCTCCTAAGTGTCTGGACCTTGTTTGCTATAACCAATGTAATTTACGTCTCACGGACACAAGACACACTGCAGCCTGAGGGCCTTCTCACCAGGGCATTTTATGGTAAGTCTGGTTTGACTTGGCTAAAGATTGCATGATTAACTTTTAAGTCTCAGGATAGATTCTTCAGTTTGCTTTCAAATAAGTAAAGAACAAGAAACAAGAAGAGAGGTAAAAGAGGTGCATGTTGCTTTGCATGAGCAATATCTAATGACGTCACATCACCTGAGTAGGGTGGGGGGCGGGGGGCAAGTGACGCTGATACTTGGCGGATGATGTTCTGGTTTAGCAACGATTAACAAACATCTCACATACAAGGTGACATCACACACTCTCTTCAGTCCTTCATTGTTTTGAACCATTGTTTAATGTCCTTTCAGGCCATGCCATGAAAATTCTACATAATTTCTTTTAAATTTGCAATGAAAATATAATTGAATTGGAAAATTAAACTAATAACTTGTGCTTTAGCCTACTTGTCTTGTGTCTGGCATCAGCAGAGGTAAGAGAAGGGCAAGTGGTTGTTTTTGCCTTTTTTATTTTTATTTTATTGGCAGTACCAGTCCTAACTTCACCTTTGACCACTGTTGTCTCCAAACATTAATTTCTACATCAGCTTGGAGGCACACATGATGTAAAATACTATGACAAGGGACAAATGGGGTACCTGCAAAAACACAATTTTATAAATACATTCCTGCCTGTGTTCAGACTATTGTCTATTCCATATGGCTCAATTCTTATTCGATATAAACATTTCTCTATTGTGCACATTCTGGGAAAAATATTATGTAGAAATTATCATTCTTTGATGCCCATGTTCAAAAGAGATATGTTTCTTTCCTATTTGAGAATAAAACTACAAACCCGGCGACGTTAAAGAAAAACTGGTCTTTAATATGAAGCCTAGTTGATATGAAGCTAAGCCCTTTATCTTTCAAAAGTTATTCAAATGTAAGACGTTTGATTTATTTATTTATTTTTACTCTTAACTGTGTTTGTCCACTTAGGCCTTATTCATGTTCACACATTTTATTGAACTGTTTACTACATTCATTTGGTTCTGTGTTTGAAATAAAGAATATTAGTATACGTACATAAGGTAGTGTGATAACCTTGCCTGAGGCAGTGGATTATTTGTGTGCTGTTTGTGTAAGGCTGGTCTGGGAGCAGAGCATTGTTTCAGTCCCAGTCCATCCCTGGTCGACATCAGCTTTCTATTCACAGACACAATGGTTTAGCCCTCAGGCTAGCAGGCCAACGCACTGCCCCCGGTCAACACGGGTCATAAGAAACATACCAACTTATAGCTGCATGGAGCCTGATTTCTATATGGCTTTCTACCCTTTGTAATGGCCTTAGGTTGCAGAAACGTGGTCATATGTGCAAAGTGGCTAAATGTGTTTGTCTTCAAGCCATCAGCCATTGCTTTTCATATAGAACTTATCACATTAGTAAAACTGACAAAGGTCTTTAACAGTCTCTGCCCTTTTCTGTCAGTTAGTCATATTCGTCCTTTCATCTTCTCTAGCTCTTCTTATTTTCTTTTAATCCCTAGTTCCTCACTTTTATTATCTTTCTTTCTCACATACTATTGCACTCTTCATCTCTATACATTAGCATGAGTAAAATAAAACTTTAATCTACATTACACGTTATCTAACCAAACAACTACATCAAAACCTTTCCATTTGTCCACAACTTATTTTGGTTGTGGAAGAAGTGGTTTAGCACCATTTTGAGAGGGTCTTCTGGGATTCAGCCCATCGTGTTTGTTTCCAGAGATGGATGTTGTACATAGATTGTTTCCAGTTAACAAAAGCCTGCTTGACTGCACAATGGATCGTGATTAGATTAAAGCTGCACTGTAAGAGCTTTTCGTTTGTGTTAAAGCAGGTTTTATCTCCGAGGGGGACAGGGCCAAAACGGGACACTGCTGAGAGGCATTTATTCAGAAAGAAACACAAGCTCTGTGAAGGGCATACTGCAGGCACAGGAGGTCTCTATCCTTGACAGCCAGACAACTTGCATGATGCATTCAAACGCAAACACTTTGACTGATGCCACTATTTGATGGGAAAAGGAGAAAGAGAGTGAGAAAGTGACATAGAGGGACAACAGAAAGATCATTACAAAGGAGAAAGAGTTAGAAAAGGAGAGAAAGACAGGAAGGGAGACAGAAGGCCTGGGGAGCATCCATGTCATTACATTTCCCTTGAACTCGTGTCAGGGACCCTCTGCTGCCATCAGTCTGATGAAGTGTAGCTGGTGCTATGAGCAGTCAGCCTGGCGGATCACTTCACGGATCACAACACAAAAGCCCAGAATGCTCAAAGCTCAGAGACTTTGCAACATTTCCACCATTACCCCACGTGTCAAAAACAGCTGAGTACATTATGTCCTCCATGTTTAAGTGGCACGACACTTGACATCGGTCGCAGAGACTTTGGCCATGTGTACAAGCATGGTGAAATGTCACTCTTGGGTTAAGGTCCCCCTTTAGCTCGATCCCCAGGGCACGGCATCAGCTCTGACTCTGAGTCAGATCGGTCTTAATGTGAAACACTGTGTGCTTTTGACCCTGAAGGATGGACCAAGAGTGATGTCAGTCCAAGAGGCTGCTTTATACTCTCTAAATGTATTTCAGTGTAAAAATCTGAGGGTTTCAATGTTACAACAAGAGTGCTATTTAATGTCCAGCGTAAGTGGACACAGGGCCATTGAGCTATACGATTGCAACCTAATTACATGGTAATATGGAACACTTTAGGTGAAAACCAATAAGTCTACCATAACAGGTCTACATAATGTAATCCCATTATAGGTCCATTACCTTTGAGAGGGTGAGGAAAGTAGGAAAGCATATATTTTTCATCAGGGGCTTCTGGGCATCACTATAAGGGGGCATCAGGGAATAGGGCATCAACAGTAGGTGTGGTGTACATCCTTCTTGTCTTTACCCGGAAAGTACCATGGTACTTGAGATCGGAAGATTCATTTGACATAAATGTTACAGCGCTGAAAGAGTGCACTAAGTCATAAACATTAATATCAGTAGAGGTGTGTGCACATCCACAGACACATTAATATTTACTATTTACTGCAGCAATTTACATGAATCTTCTTACACTCATATAATGTTGTACATGACCACAAGGCTCAGGTAGAGCCCTGCTATACATATTCAAACAACAAAAGCATTGAAGATGTCAAAACCACAGTGGAAATACAGAAGGAAACAAATGACACTGAAGACCCAAATCATTCAAAATGGGCTCACTGGGAAAAAACATGAAAAAGGCATTTGCTAATTTCTCATAAATGCATTTGTAGTTTTAAAAAGAAACTACATGGCTTAGAGAGAGTGTTACTATATTACAGGCTCTGAAATTGCCAAACAGTTAAACATGATGTGATGTGAATTTTGTGGGACAGAGAATCATAAAACAATCTGCCTCCTACCTTCAGTGAGTCCCATGTGGATGGTCCAGTAGTTCTGCAGACACTGCAGCTCCTTCTTCATGCCCCTCTTGCAGCGGCAGTCATACAGAGGACTAACCAGCAGCACTTCCAAGGCAGCCTGGCACTCCCTGTTGTTGTCCAGCATCGCTTCCTTCTCCTTGCCCACAAGGCACTGGCGCATCACCCGGTACCGAGAGCTGCAGTAAGGGTTCTGGTTGCACATGTCACTCGCCTGGATGCAGTCCACCCACTCCGGCTGAGCTCCAGGCCCAGACCCGGTGTTTGGAGATCCTGGAGAATTGTTGGCCAAGGACACGGACGAAGCTGACGGACCATCCCAGGAACTTGCTGCCTCATCTAGATGGGGACAAGGAGACAGAGGTGGAGTTGATAAATTGTAAATGAATGTGTGAGGGATTTTACTGTTGAATATGTGTGTGAGTGTAAGCAGATATCTAAACCTGTTTTCAATTTGTTGATGCAACAGGTTGTATATGAGACCTATAAAAAGGTTTGATGGCCTATGACATGCCCACACATGCCAAGGCCTCTTTTAGCAAAACAAGTCTTCATGGTCCACATGAGTCTTATCTACATGGTGTCTTGTTATGCCTCATTCACATTATACTCAGTGTAGTCGCTTTAGTGCATCTAAAACCCAACTGCAGCTTTCAGTTTCCTATTAAATCTAATCAAAGGAGGACTTGATCATTGAAGAATATCTAATTATCTCATTGCTAACAAGCAATTAAAAGATGTGAACTACACTTAATTCACATCTAGGCATCCACGAAATGAGCTTAATATGAGTAAACAGTAATCCACAGAGCAGACTCAAGTGTTACAGTTTGACAGGAGTCAAAATTCAATCGCACCTTCACACAAACCTAAGTAGGCCTACAGACAATTCTGGTGAAATGACAAGAGAGACCCCTTGTGGTGATCTTGAGCACTGAGCTCAGAAAAGGGGATACTGCAGAGAATCAGAGAGCAGCGGGCAAGGAAAGAGTAAAATGAAGTTAACTGTAAAAAAATATTTCATCTGTCACATTATTTAAACTGAAGTACCAGAATGTATGGACACTTATAATGATAATTATATTGATGAAAAACATGGTGATGATGATCATGATGATGTATTTTCTCATATTCAACCAAGCATAAGTGTGTAATTGAAAAGACCACACAGATTTTCCATTTACTGACTAAAGGCTGGACTGTGCTGTTACAATAATTAGCTTTGTATTTCTGCTGTGGAAGCTGTGGTTGTTTAATGGATCCACTATAAGTGATTCACTCGCATAGATCAAGTTCGGCCTGCGTGACAATTAAACATAATCTAATCAAACCATCCAGCATACAACAGTAATGCCCATCAGCATATAACTACACATAAGGGAAAAAAACGGAATAACCTTGTGCGCTCAAGTCAAGTCCAGCATGAGAAAAGTGGACACATAGCAGACAATGCTCCCTGACAGTAATTACTGATGTCAGAATGTATCTATATGAGCCATAAAAATCACAATTTGCACACAGTTGCACATGTTGTTTCCATATTTCACTTCTCACCTAAGAGCAGAAGGAAGATGTAAACGCACATCCACACAGTGACAGACTTCATGTTGGACTCAGCAGGAACAGAGGTGAGTTAGGATCCAAAAAGACAATATTTCCACCTTGTGAAAGGTTAATTCCCCTCTCCGGATCCTTGACCCAGGCGTATGGCTAAGTGTAAAAAAATCAATATCCTCATTAAAGACGCCCCTTCCGAAAAAAAAATCCTCGACTCCCAAATATAATCCACGAATTATTTTTTCTGGAATATTTAGACTAACCGCGACGCAGGAAAATCCCCTGATATTGAAAAAAATAAAAAATCAAATGCCAATCAATCATTCAGTCAATCCATGAAAGCAGTTTCTCAGGGTCCGTCTGCTCTGCGTTCATACCGACAAACTACTGAGACTTGATCTCTCCGCATTATAGGGACTCAGACTGCCCGCTCCAATTGCCCCTAGGAGACAATTTGTCCCTAAAACATCCCTTAAACTGGCGTAAAAGGATCTGTCAGCTATGCCAATATCTCTAATGAGGTAGAGGAACTCTTCTGAAAGTGCTACAAAACGCTGACTGGATTTTTTTCCTCCCCACTACTGGCTCCCTCAAAAATCTGTGCGCTCCTCTGGAGGGAGTGAACGCTTCTTTCGCACTGACTGCATGTGTGTCGAGGCATCACAGCACTTTATAAAGAGGAGTTTCTGTGTGCCAGCAGAGGGCGCTGCCGGTGGCTGCTTTCATCACATCGAGGCCAAATAATAAATGTTACCGTATAGAAAAATCACCACGTTATTCCTGTAATTCTCCTGCAGGGAGTTAGGGAAAGATGCACCTGTGGTACTCAGCAGTGAAATTATAGTGACCTTACTTGGCCTGTGAGGTATTTCTTTGATCCCCTGGGGTATTGTTAAAGGATTTTCTGGGAAAGCTTATACATTTTGTGAAACCATTTCTGTGATTCATGTATAATATCCTTCTTACATGATTGCTATCTCTTCCACAGGGGAGTCTTTATTCTTTCTTGTTCAGGATACATCTGTGGGAGTGATGAGTCCACTTCTGCAGCAATTCAAGGAATGAATCAGGAAGCAACAATAAGTGTGTTGGCTACTTGAACTCATAGCAAGAACATCCGGTCATCCAGCACATAGTGAGTCTTGTATTCCAGTATTTAGCAAGGCCACAAGGCCAATTCCTTTTTGTGTGGCATTCCCAAAACTCATAAAAATTTGCAAATGATTTTTAGGGATGGGGTTCAAGGGTGAACTTAACAATGATGGAGAAAATGTCATCATTCAGTACCCCAACACTTCACATGACATCTGTGTTTCCTCTGATTGAAAGAAAGATTTAAAAAACGATCACAATGCATCTTATTATATTTGTGCTCGGAGGAAATAAGCCCACAACCCACAGAATCTGCTATCTTTCAAAGTGGCTTCACATTAAACAAAATGACTTTGTTGTGCATCATCGCTTAAATAGTGCCTGGAATGTCATAAATCTTTACAAATCTTGAAAACAAAGTCTCTATTTAGAGGCTCTGACAGTGACAAACTGCAAGGCCACTGGCTCATAATGATGTTTGACTGTCAGCAGCCCAGGCTTCCATCCAAGAGGGAAAAGAGCTTGCCGTTATAATGGCAAAATCAGCCTCATTCTGCCTGTATTGGCCCAGGCTTATTCTCGTCTGCCCCCGGAGTTTGAAGTCTCTGCCATTATGGGGACACTGAAAAGCATCATGAATGCATCCTGCATCTGTCCTGCAGTAGTGTTGCAGTGACGGATACAGCCTATTCTTCAGTTGCTTTTGAGCAAAAATGCATTTTTTTAACACAGAATGGCAACCTTGTGCTTTTTGAGCAAGTATTTCTAAAAACCAGACCAATGTTCTTATCTTATTTTAGCAGATAACAAATAAGGTGTTTAGTTATCCATGTAGTTTCTTTCTAAAGAGCAGTTGCATAAACCGTATAAAGTTTACAGTTGCCTGAGCAGTAGGCTCAGGAGGAAAAAGAAATTTATAATAACACAAAAAAACATGAACTCCAGAGAGAAACATTAGCTGCAAACAAAATGAATAAAACAGCTAAATTTGCATTGTGGATTCTTATTCAGACCTTGCATTATTCCCATCAATGATGTCCTCACATTTTTTTTCTTTAGCCAGGCTGTCAGGTCCATGGTGGGAGTTTATTCTTGTTGACATTGCACGATTCACCAGCTCCTTGGGTGTTTAATTGCTCCATTCTGACTTCATAAAGCATCTGCAGTTTTTTTCACATACACAATTAGAGGGAGCCCACAGAGAAACACACACATGCACGGCTCGTATGCGTACATGCTTCCATAAATAGGCATATACTTATGTGCACTGGAAAAGGCGCTTGCAGACACATGCACACAGATGCACATAATTGGTACGTCCAATAACCGTGCTCCCACAAGATGGCTCAAGACCGTGAAGATAGGGAATGACAAATCTGGATATAGAAGACATTGTCCCCACTATTGAGGGAAATCAGTCCCTGCCTCTGAGAAGTGTGTCTAATATGGTGAATATAGATGATATCATTATGAATTCATGGAATATGAAATAATGATACAGATAACAGTCAAAGTTAAGACTCTGTGCAATAACTTGTGCTTAGTGAGACAGCAGTGGATTGGGGATTTCACCCATGAGAGCTAGCTCATGCTTACTCTCATGGGTGAAATATCACCTTGAAAGCAGGGCAGACAAACTTGCATACAAATGTTGTGTATGCCAGTTTATGTGTGTTACAGTGTGTATAGGTGCCTGCACAAGTGAGTGGGTTTTTAAAACGACTGTAGTTTGATCTTCATTCAAACTAGACCCAGGTGAATCCGACACATTTAGTGTTAACTATCTAAAATAACACCTTGAATGAACCATTGATCCTCTTGTTTTATGTTTTATCCAATAATATTTAATTTAAAAGGATGTTGACATTGATAAGGATTTGCTTTGCCTAGCAGCTTTGCAAACACAAAATTTAGCTTGCGATTTATCTGAGGGCAAAGGTCGCTGTATCTCTCTCTGCTGCATACTTGTTGGAGAGAGTACTAATGAACCTGAGCATATAGTATTGTGCATGCACACACAAGGACACACATGCAAGCACACACAGAGGTTAAGCATGACTGATTAGATTAGGAATTATGGGCTAATTAATGTGTATCTTGAGAGACCTGTACAGCATGCTTATTAGGAGACACAGCCTGAGTTGAGCAGAACATGACAAAAACATAAGTGTTGTTAATTCCCAGAATTTGATTAAATTAAACAGAACTGTATAGCTCTGTTCCCTCCTGATTTATTCAGTTCAGTGTAACAAGAGAAGCTAAAGATGAAACCTCTGCCTGTGTGTACTGTACAGTCATAAATTATTGAAAGTTGGAGCTTGCTGTTGCAAAATATCTTTAAAACTTCTGTAACTGTAACTCTTGACTGAAAGTCAATTCTGAAATATTAAAAAAAGCAAAAAATATATGGGTCATAATATTTTCGAAACCTCTCAGCTTTCACACAGCCATGGTGCCTGTATCAGGTGCAGAGCCCGGAGTCAGTTCAAATCAATCCGTTCGAATCAATGTGAGAGGGAAAATAGCCAATGAAATAAGCATCAGTAAAGTCAATTGTGGAGATAGTGGAGTGACAAGTGAAGCTGTAGGCTACTTCACATTCTGGGTAGGGCTTGTATGCTTTATTTTACACTGTTCTGTTCAACTCACAGTTCAGCAAAATGAAACAACAAGCTACTCTTGTTCCACACAAGGTCCTGCATGTCAGTGTTTATGTGTATGTCAACTTTGTTTTGGGTTGTTTTGAACGTATAAACAGCTCTACATTTGTGATGTGACCTCTGCTAGACTCTCTGGAGGCTATCGACCAGTTAGATCCATTTGTTTTCCAAGCATTTCAGACGTTGTCCATTTCTATCACATTACTTTGACAGAAATTGAATTTCCTCTGATGCATTTTTATGTATCCTAAGTGCTGCTCTGTTCTCACTGGGAGTATAGCGTTTCCAGTGGTGTGATGATGCAAAAACACTATGGGTTTAAACAGAAAAAAGGGGAAATGGATTTTATTTTAATGTGAGTATTGCCTTTCATGTTGTTGGGTTTTTTTTATTCAAAATGTTTTCCACATGAATTATTAGTCCTTCCAAGTAAGCAACATCCACATTGCTGTTGTCTAAAGGCTGTTTCAAAATCTTTCAAGAGCACATAAGAACACACAGAGGACAAACTTTATCAGTGTGCTGATGCCATGCTGGGTTTTCTGTCTTTGGGATTGTCATCTTTCTGACTATAATGGCAGCACACAGAGAGGACATGTACCTATTCTTATCAAGGAGGCACAAACATATAACATGAGTCTGCAGTTTTTATGCAGCTCTTCTTTCTTTTCTTCTTTCTTTTACTGTTCAGGAATTTTACAGGCAATGACATTAACAGAGATAACTTTTCTGTAGCTGGTTGCTGGTTCGATTTCAGCAATTTGCCACAGAGCTGCAATCAGAGGCACATCTAGCCCATCTCGTTAAACACACCATGTGTCCCGTATGGGATATTGACAGGGACCTCTGCTCTGCCCAGCTCAGTGAAGGTCTTGGCATCCAGAACAAGCAGGAAAGTACTTTTCTCCTGGAAACAGAAACAGAGGAGATTAAATATGTTATGTAAAGAACAAGGTTACCCTTATCACAATAATGATAGTGAAAGTACCAAACCATTGGTATTGTCCATGCATAGAACATATATATATATATATATATATATATATATATATATATATATATATATATATATATATATATACATTGCGCACAATATATATATATGGCACAACAGATAAACATCGACAGGTGATATCGGTGAGTGCCTTCTTATTTGCAGATGTCAGTCAACAATGCAAATATTGGCCCAATACAGGTGTTCAGCCAGTAAATTGGTGCATATATATGCACGTGTCACATAAAAATTTTATATACAATGCTGTATGACTGACTGTGGTTATGTATCTTTGTTCTTTTTATTTCTCACAGTATAGAGTAAAAGTACACTGTAACAATTTAATGTGAATATCAGTCACAGTAATGTGGTCACTGTTGAAGTTAACAATGTCTGTGGCTGCTCTAGAAAATTGTTTTTGTGGTTTTTTTGGTAGTTGTTAACTTACTTCCCTGGGTGTGATGATGACTGACAAGACCACTCCGTCATCTTCCTCAGTAGCTTTGGGCGAAGCAACAAAGACAGGCTCAGACGGGTACAAGCCAGGGTAACGCCACACCTAGACAGAGAAGATTACATAAATATCCCCTTCACTCTGAGCTGTTTCATGTTATAAAGCCCAACTCCCAACCTGCTGCCCTCAGTGATAGAGAAATAACTTTGATGTGATAATACTCGGCCCAGTTAACAATGAGGTCTCCTTAAGAAGTCTTTGATTGATAGAGACCTTAAGCTCCTTGGTGTGGACATCCATCTTGAGCAGGGAGTCACTGAAGACATGTCCAAAGCCACAGGAGTAGAAGTAGCGGTAAGGTCTTCCATTGTACTGGTCGTAGTTGATCTGAGGGAACTCAAGGCCACCGTACTGCAGCAGCTCGTCGTCGTGAAGTTCCTCATGGGTCATGTAAACCTGTGGGGTCACAGGAGAAAGTCAGGGTTTTTGTTAGATCAGTGCAACTTTTACATTTTAGCCCAGAAGTTGGCCCAGTTAATGCAAACCAAAAGACCTGATTTACTGTACACTGTTATGCTGTGAGGGCTTGAATCAACACTGCATTATTCTCTAAAACAGGTAAATGGATACCTGCACAAGGTCCTAGGTGTGCATTTCAAACTTTAGTTAAGAATAAATCGATTTCTTTAATTTTGCTTTAAAAATATATGTACCTTCAATTTCAATTACAAAGCACTTTCACTGCTGTTTTTAGCTGTTATATCACAGGACAGTGTCAGTCAGGTAGTCATGACAACTGAAGCATCAACCTTTCTTTCAACCTTTTAGTCTTGAACAGCAAGGTGGACTCATTTTGACATCATTTTTATCTGCTGTAAGTCATGAAATTACTATCTTGCAGAAAGTACCTTCAGTGTCTCATCATGTTGAATAATTGAGAGTGTGTGGGAGTGAATTTGCTGTATTCATCATGATTATAGGTCTCATTCTTTACTTGATTCCAGGAAAACCAGAGCAAGTGTAATGTACAGTTAAACTCATTACTTTACAGAAGGAGTGTACTGCACTCAGTTTAATTCTACCTCTCGTGGTTTTGTCTTCTTTGCAGTGGCTTTATAGTTATGCAGAGTGACAAGGTTTTGGTCCAAAGGAGTTTGTTCATCCACATTCAGGGGTAGGACGTATCTCCTTGGGAGGTTTCTGCACAACGAGTTGTAAAACTGCCAAAAGAAATCAGACAGCCATGAAAAATTGTGAGTGTGGCTCCTGACTGAAAGATGCAGTGCAACCTCAGGAACAATCAGACCCACACAGATACAAAATACTGACACAAAATGGTGCTGCTATTTACATTGTTTGGAGGCATTTTAATTTGAAACTTTTTTTTTGCTTTAAATCACACACTTCACCACATTTTAAATAAAAAATTTATCAATTTATGAGTGAAAAGAAAAAGTAAAATAAATGAGTATCAGATACATTTCATCTACCTCTGCCTTTTGCTAATGATAGATGACCTTGGTGTAAAAAGATGGTCTTTACATACAGAACCACAAAAACCTCTCTAAATTCTTGCTCATGCATGTTTCACCTTCATGTTTTGTGGACATTGTTTAAAGAAAGAAGAAATTGGGTGGATGAATGGATGAGTTGATGGTAATGTAAAAAATGCAAACTACCTGAACACTGGTGGAAACAGAAACACTATTATGTAAAAATCACTCCTGTTGAAATAGTTCAGTAAAAGCCAATACTTCAATCTGAGCTGCTAACTGTCAACAAATTAATGAACTATTATGTTCTGTACTATTATGCATTTTTGAGTGTGTGTGTTATAGTACGATTCCCAGTCATGCATTCACCTTGTCCATTTCCTCTCCCAAGCCTCTGCGGATGTTCTCCAGTGTGAAGTCTCCAATGACCTCACCGTCGTCCCCACAGCACATGTCCATAACCAAGAACCCATTGTCTTCAAAAGCATTGATCTGATGCAGTGTGAACATGGGTGCTGCACGGTACCTCACCTCACTCTCCTGTTGGACCAGCCACAGCAACCAATCAAAAAAATAATAGAGGGTTGGAAAGGGCTTTGGGCAAACAAAGAGTTTCTGTGTTGGTTTTCACATTTGAGCACAAGAGCCTTCACTGGCACTGCTGTTATTGTGTTGCACCTTCACATTATGAAAGTTTGATATTGTATGCTTAATGGGTATGCTGTGTAATGAGATGAGAAAATTGAGAGTAACAATGTATGAGAAAAGGCTACACCATCAGAGTGTGACTTCATCAAAATAAATAAGGAAAAAACTTCATCATGCGTGAAGAGATTAGCTTGCAGTTTTCCTTTTTTGTTCTGACTATTCAGCAAATGGGTGTGTGTTTCCTACTTCACACTTTGCATGAAGTCCGCTGCTGTGCAGTAAACTAATTTTAACCCACCTTGCCGGTGTGCCTATTGACCAAGTGGAAGATGGTTTCATTCTGAGGCTCCCAGGTCATGATTTTATGAAAGCTCTTTCCCTGGATTCTGTACAGCATGAACTTCAGCAGGTCCAGCTTGAGTGGTTGCTCAATGAACACAATGTAGTTCTCCGACATGACTGCACACACAAGAGGAAATGTATGCATAAAAAAAAAGATTGACACAGCTTATTCATCATATTTCATCATAATAATTCATATTTTTAAGCTTGTATACTATAGACCTGCTGTGTCATGGTGGGATAATACATTTCAATTTGGTTACAGACAGAGAGCGTAACACATCAGCGCAGTTCTTCTGATTCTGTATACTTTCATGACAGAGCCCATCGGTTTTTGCAATGCCCCCACTGATATGCCTCATAAATATTTTCATAAACATACATCAAATGGATCATATAATTATTGCAAGGCTGTGTTAACTGTCAACATGATTTCAGCTGTGAATTAGGTGTGAACCAAATTTGTGATAAAAAATAGTAAAGCATTTATGTCCATATATAAACTGAAAATGAGTGACGTAAGTAAGCCCCATGTTGTTTATTTTGAATCAGTAATGCTGGGTTTTGTAAAAATGCCATGAGACCCTTTTTCTGAAGTTACCTGCCTTTTTGTAGGAGGCCGCATCCACTGCTACTCTGCTTTTGGCCAGTCATTTGCAAAGTAAATCTTTCTTGCCTCATTACTAACCTTTCCTGACACATGAGACAAAAATATTGTGCTATCAGATAAACACGTGAAATAGGGGCTAAACATATCCCCCTGTCTACTGTAACTCTACTGACAGAAGTAATTATGTGGTTCCTTGTATACTGGTACAATGTTCCATCACTTGTGTGATTTCTTGGTGCCAGACAGTCTGGCAGTGCAAGGGTGGTCTGCAGATAAGATAAACTGAGATGTAATCAGGGGACTGGTGCAGTATGAAAACCAAATGGAGCAAAAATGTGTTGTTGTGTTTGCATTTCCTGATAGGCATCAGCTTCATGCATCATTATCAATGCCTTCTTCATCAACTGCTTGGCTATCAGCTGAGTAGTAACATCCACTACATGTTGTGTTGTATGTGACATCATACAGATGTACTGTGTGGCCATTATAACCTGACTTTTCTCACTTTTACCCTGCTGATATGCTAATGGAGGTGCTGTTCCAGCTCCCTAAACCCCCCAACCTCCACATTATATGCTAAGCTTTTGATACTGTTGACTTTACTAAGATCTAATATTCATGTATTTGTTTATTAGGGGGATTAGTTCTCCCATCGGAAACAAGGACTCTGCTGGGGTAACTATATTTTTAAGAGCTCCCTTAAAAAGCGGAGTCTATTCCATCAAATCTAACATTATAACCATTTGCTATAAATGATCAAGTGTCTCTGACTGAAATGTAGACATATAGCAGTAAAACTGATTTAAAAACAAACAACAAAACATCATTACACAAATGATCTTGGTACTGAATATCTCAGAGTTAAGTCATGGACGAAACTACAGTAAAACAAGTTCATTGTGTTTCTTTTAAACAGATTTTATATTTTTACAGAATATAAGAGAAAGTGTGTACTTTTGTGTGTGAGTCAGCGGCAGAGTTATAGACAGAGAGAGATAGTGAGAGCTGAATAGAAAAACAAAGGAGCTGTGATTGACAAAAAGAAGCAGGACGTGACTAGAATTGAAATTAGTAATTAATAAGAGCAGAAAAAAACTGTGACGCTCTCTTTCAGTGAAGTAGACTCACCCCGTCACTGCAGGAAAAAAACAAAATCTCTTATAGAATTCATTAATTTCACATCAGCATACATCCAGCATGCAGACTACTTAAAGAATCTGCAGCCTATTTGTTATCCTGTAGTGTGTGTCTCACCAAAGCTGTGATAATAGGAAGGTTTCCTGGGTTCAGCTGCACGGATGGAGCAGATCACTTTAGCTCCATTCAGGTCTGCAGAATCCTGTGCTTCTGCCTTCTCCTCAGGAGGAGGTACACGGATTATGTTGTAGAAGAAACCTAAGGAGGCCCAAAAACAAATGCTGTTGTAGAGTACTTTTTTCAGGATCACATAAGGGTACACAAATAAAGATGTATGGTTATATATATATATATATATGCTTAGGTAGGTAGACAGGTGAGAAGCAAGGAGGCAAGGAGTGAAGGAAGGTTACCACTTTTGCCGTAGGAGTTGCCCATGTTGTACGTGGCCCCCTCGCGGTCATAGTGTGGGTGAGCTGTAGCCGAGTTGACAGCAATGTATTGACTCCAGTCCACCTTAAATGGTCAACATTTGTGTTGTTGTCATCATCATCATTAACAGTCACCCATCTTGACTGCTGATCAGCATTAGCATTCAAAAGAGACTTTTATATTTGTTACACTGACTCACCTTCTCCTTTGTCTCCAGGCTCTGTGGATCCACTCTTCTCATGTAGTTGGTTTCCGTGCTGACATAATAGTCTCCCTTGTACTTGACAAAGTTTACACTGGCGTTATCTGTGGCCTCTGTTCACACATACAGGTGTCAGGAATATATTAAATATAACTCTTCTCACAGATAAAATGACTATTTCCATCAAATTTTTTTCCCCCTAGTTTTTCAGAAGCTTTATGTCATGATTATTTCCCTCACAGACAATTACACACACACACACACACACACACACATATTGACTTGTGTTCCCTTTACCTCAATAAAAACAATATTATGTAACACCAGCTTTCATTAGGCCAGAAAAGCAACATACAATACAGCACATACAGTCAAGGACATGAGCATTGAAGATTTTTTTTCCTATTTGTTTGACTTTTGCTCTAGTGATCTACCTTGTTACCTATATGCACAAATAAACTGAATATTTTAATAATGCATTTGGCACTGCTGGGGATACATTATGCTGCACTGAATCAGATTACACATGGGAATATGCAATATGTAAAGAGGACACACATACTAGGAATCTGAAAGCGTGAAAAGAAGCGTGCAAAGATGTTCTTGCAGGGATCAGGCATGGCTAATGTCCCGAACTCTGAAACAACAATGCGGTTCTTCTCTGAGTTGCGGACATATGAGTCACTTTGCAGGAATCGACTACTGTAAGTGACATTGCCATTGCAGATGTGGAACCGGTGCATCATGGCCATGCCGTCAAACCAGTGGGTGTATCTGAGTGAGAAAAAAAAGTTGATTTCGCAGAAGGTTATTGGTGTAAGACAAACTAGATGGAGTGATTGAATTGAGAATTTGGGTGAAGGAGAAATAACCCCTTTTGTGCTCAGTATGTGCTAACTTAAACTACATGATTTGAATACCCCTGCTGCCTCTTAAGATAATTCACTGAATATCTGAAAACTGTATATGCTGAACAAACCTGTTAAAAGTATAGATACACAGATACAGGTACAGATCACATGCTTTTTCTTTTCTTTTTTTGTAAATGCCTTTGTCATGCCCATTAAGCTCACTTAAAGTAATTTAAATAATTTATGTTTTGTATAAATTTGGCCATGTTTTTTTTTCCATGGTATATCTCTAATACCTGTCTTTCCCAAATTCAAACTTCCCAGGACCATTCCTCAGGAAGCTCCCATTGATCCAGGCTGGAATAGTTCCCTTGATGGTGGTGGGGATGGGATCAGGAGTTTCCTCCACAGAACTCACCAAAGGTGCCAGGTTCTCCAGCCCATTGGCCTGCGGACAGCGCTGCCTGCTGGATACTAAGAGAGGAGAGAGGAGAGGAGAGGAGAAGAAAGGAGGATCTGATTTCTGATTAAAGTACACTCTACAATCTGTGAGATATTTTATAATAGAACTTCAGCAGCGGCTGAACTCTTGGCCCCACACCTTTTCCACCTCTCACTTTTTCTTATTCACCCCCCCCACAGTCATGCATAGACACTAGGTGTGGTGCTGTGAAACATTTATAACTAGAACTTTGAACAAGTGTGAATGAGAAAGTGATGTAAAAACCCACAGAAAACGATTTGTTAGCAATTAGTTGTCTTTGCAGCACTGCCAACATGTGACCTGCTAATATCAACACAAATCAAGAAAGGTCTTTAGCAGTTGTATCTAATCAAATTTTTTTTTAGACCACTATGTTATAAACATACAGCCCATGTCACACTTTCACACATTCTACAGTACATATCCTTTTCTGGTTCCTTACACCACTGCAGATGTATTTTTTTCAGCTGTCAAACTATACAAGTGATTAAAAAATGGCTTAAAGGGAAAAACATCTCTTCTGTGATAGGAAACATTATGTACTGTAACAGCTCCTGCTTGTGTGAACTCATGGCTCACTGGGGTCGTGCACTGTGAATGGCACTATCTACTGTCTTATCCGTTATCCAATAACCAATTCCCTTTCATTACCTCATATCTCCACACATAATGGAGATTGTAAAATATATATGAGAGTTACGTGATTAGCAAAAACAAATCATCTGGGTTCAATATGGAGCCCCACGCTGAGCTGAGGTTACAACATCACAGTTTTTTTGACTATGTGAATTGTTATTGCATCCAATCAGCAGGGGCAGAATTTTGTTCATACCCATGACACTAGTACAACAGACAATAAAAGCGAGAATGTGCAATAGAGAGATAACCACTGCAGGCTTTACCAATCTCTTACAATGTTGACTTTGTGAGTTTTGATTGTGATTACTGCAGCATTGCAAATGATGCCTGAATGTGTGCTGTCATTTTTAAGGGGGGTATTTCATATAGTTTCCTACTGCTGCATTCAAAATCGAGCCTCTGGAAAACAAAACAGCAAACACTGACGAGCCCTGAACTGTTGTGGATAATAGCTTCAGGTATTGCTTTTTTTTTAATCTTTCATTTTTGGATAATAGCAGTAGCAACAGTAGTTTATTTGTAACAACTATTGCTTTCACGAATTGTTTTCCTCGCAGCACCAACAGCATGTCAGTGTACAAATAAATTACCTTGTTGGAATTAGCCGTCATACTCCTGCACATCTTTTTAATTTCTTTTCTTCCCGTTTTTACTGTGCAGAGACCTGTCAGACAGTTTTCTTCTTTAAGCTAACAGCTGAGAATGACTAAAAGCTGTTAATGAGACATTGTGCATATTCTTTCACCAGCTCTGATTCAACAGGAGACATTGGAGCAGGAACAATAGAAATATGCCAACATGTCCTATTGTAACTGCAGCTCTGATTTTGAAATGCAACAAAATATCATTATGACTAAACCACATTATCAAAATGCACGTCTGTACGTATGTTTCTGTGCGGAAGTTTAGGGTTTTTACAGTAAATTCTTTTGCTATTGTTTGTCCTGTAAGAATAAAACATTGAATCTATAGTTCATCTATAGCCTCAATACAGTCTTCAGTTGTTTTGTGTGTGTGCAAGTCTACTCACTGCTGTGTGTCTGTGGCTCTGTGTTCTTGGACATGGCTGGGCGTTCTGTGGATTTGATCTGACAAATACAAAGAATTTATACAAGCTCTGAGGAAAACCTTTGAACCTTTGGTCCCTTGCCACGTGAAGGAAGCGATCGGAGGCGGTACTGTGTTGACTATATCGTTAAACCAGTCCTAAAAGTGACAAGAAAGGCAGTCACAATTGCTTCATGATGCAGGTCACTGTTTGCAGTGTGACATAATGCATTAGTGTACATTTCTTAAGGATAACAGACAAACTACACTACGTTTAGTATATTTTTCCTACATTTTGAAGAAAGTGAATTAATTGGTTGAATCATTATCATCACTGTCAAACAAATCCGGCACACTGTATTTACTGTATATAGACATGTGTACATGCATACACCCACGTGTACTTTATATCCATTCAATATTTATGTATTGTTTACAATTTGCAGAACTTTCCATTGTAGCACTAGTCATTGTTGTTTTTTTACATACTATATTTATATTTACACCCATTTTTTACTTTCTTGTATAATAGTTCAATGTTTATGTTTACCTACCTTTGTTCAGCTTTGTTGTCCTACTTTTTAGCTGTCTATTTCTATCTTTCCTGTAAAGTGTTATGGTGTGTGTCTAAGAGCAATGAAAACTTCATATTATTTGTATGTGTACACACATATTTGGTCAATTAAGCTGTACATACAGGCCCAACATCAGAGCCATACAGTCAAGGTTAGTACACCATGTCATGTTTATTATTATTATTATTATCAATAGCAGTAGTCATGGACGTCTTTATCGCTATTGTTACATACTCTATACAATTCTGTCTCTGCAAATTAGCTTTAGATTATATTATATAGCAATAGTCCACATACGTTTTCAGCTTTTATCTTATCTGACTCTACATTTTCTATCTTCATACAGTTTAAGGTCCGGAGTCACATTGCAATCAGGGTTCCTACACGTTCATCAAATTACGTAAAATATCCATAATTATTGTTAATATTACAACATGTAGCAGCAGAGTATCTGACTTAAATATATATACACATACACAAAGGTAATGAGGGTTTTTTTTCTCCTCAGTGTTAATTGGTGTGCAATATTTAGTCAGTGTGTCCAGTTCTGATAATCTTTATGACTTTACAGGCTTCCCAAGACCACAAGTAACCCTGCATGTAGGAAAAACTGGCCTCCCAGATCTGAAATAGTTGTGGTGGATCCGTAACCAAAATTACTATGAATAAATCTGCAGATATGTGTGTATAACCGTAAGATGTGTGTTAATGCAGAACAATGCAAAACACTAAAAGGGAGAACATTCAAATGTAGAATAATAAAACCTTAAGTAACAAACACTTTTTTGTGCACAAAAATAAAAATGACAAATGTGGACAAGACTATATAAAGTAGACAAAATAAGATCTGGGTCTCTAATATGATTTATAAATGTTAAGCTTGGTAGAAGGATTTATATTAAAGACCCAATAAATCTGCAGCAATGCATAGAAATAAGAGCATGAATGTAAAATTAAGATTGTAATAGTGTTCGAGGTCTCCTAACAAATATAACTGGTTGTGGAGTTTGTAGTCATTATGGTGTAACAAAGATTTCTTGTCCTTTACTAGAAAGCTGTACCGCTTTACACTTGGTGTCTATGTGGTTTCAAGAATAGAAAAGACAGAAAACAGAAAACAATACCACTGTGATTAATTATAATATAACACACAGTATAACTGCTATTAGTTACACTGCCCACAGGGTATCAATACAACATCAGATATGCAGATATAATTAATCTTGAAAGAGAAGTGGACGGCCACATTATGAACTAAGAAAGCTTCTATTTGTTTGTAGTAAAAAATTTACTTGTGAGATTCCACAACTATATCAAATTCTCACACTGAGAAAATTAGTAAAAAATAAGTTTTTCAAGTTGCCAGTCAGTTAATGTCCTAATGGCACTGTCTGCTTACATGTCTAGAACGTTAAATTACACACATTTAAACGTTGAACACCTACTCAACCTATATGTACAATGAAGGCACACAATAGTAAGCATTCTTACATATTAACTGATACAAGCAGCCCCCTGTACAGACAGCAAGATGACTTATAACCCAAAAATATCCATCAAACTCACTGAACTAAATGAGCAAATACACCAATTAAGCGCTCAAAGTAGCTGATTGGCAGCTGAAATGCTGCCCAGTGAAATCGAGGAAGGCTGCTATGCCTGAAATCAGTGGTGTAGTGCAGGGTATACACAGGCATACGGAGCAGACCCATTTATTTTTAAGTCGGCATTGGGGATACCCACTTCTAAATCCCCTCTGATGTTTATCATTCATTAGTGTTTTGCAAGCTGAATTTGTTCCTAGGATGGTAAAGCAACATTAGTGGGCCAGTATTGATTGCAATATCTGCACCTCTTCTGTGGCTTATGTTAATTTCATAATGAACCTTTCTCCCTGAAGTCAAGCAGCAGAGGTTAGGTGACAATGTGCAGACACTACTGGCTCATTTTTGGGTGATTATAAGTGCAAGAGTAGTCTTACATATCACTGTTCGTAACACAGGGCGTTTATCCTTTGCTGGACAGGCCGCTTAAATCAGGGCATAAATTATTATACCCTCTCCTCCAGGCACCACTACACCACTGCCTGGACTCTATGCAACCCTCTTAAAACAGGCGGTAAATCTATTTGTCACACAAAAAGGCAGAAAGGATATTATCCAGCAAAAATAGAAATATGGAGTGAGTTTATTATAAACTATTGGCACATGAGCCTATGAGGCAAATGTAAAATAAAATAAAATACAACATTCAAGCAGTAAGCTGTTCTAAACACTACAGCACTGAATGTGGTGAGAAAGACTGCACCCAGTCCCACTACTCCCCTGCTACGCTCTCCCACTCAACATGAAAGAAATGGAAACCTGGCAAGTACGTACAAGATCTGTAGGAAGACCAGTTTGGTCATGATGTGCTTATGAGATTTAATTAAATCACTTGCTTCCAACCAGGGAGTTTCTAAGGGATGACAAGCCAAAAATGTTGGGAAGCACTGAATTAAAACCATAGTCAAAACAAAGACATCAAAATGAAATAAACATATGTGCCAACAATCAAAAAGTGAAGGCAGGGAAAGCCTTCTGTTAACATCAGTAGGAAGGATGTGATAAAAGCAAATCAGCAGCAGACAGCCAATGTTTGGATTTTCTTCAGCCTCCAGCTCAAAACACACTGCCTGTGGCAAATAAGACAGCTCCTGGAAAATACAGCTGTATATTATTTAAAGGCAAAAAGCTTAACAATATGGACGTTGGTGGGTTCAGAATGCGCTAAACATTAGTTATTGCTACAAACCCACCACACTGTACTACATACCAGTGGTGGTATGTTGGATACAAAGAGGTATGCAAGGGAAATTAGTTAAAAACCACACAGTTGACTGCAGCCAATAGCACAGACCTGCCACAATAATGTTTATACTTTATTGCAAAATCTTTCTCCTTTGCTCCACATGGAGAATGGCAATGGGCAGTACAGTGTTTACTGCCCCAAAGTGATATAAACCAACCATAAACCTCACACAGAGTGTCATTCAGGGTTCAGCTGCTGTTCTGATAGGGAAAACAGGCTGAAGTGTACCTGTTACAAACCCCCGGGGGGCGTTTCAGTAAGTGAGGTGTTCTGCTTTGCTCAGCCATGAAACTAGTAAATCTCATCCCACAACATGACAGACTGCATTTGACTGCACATAAACATATTTGAGTGGTAAGGCACAGATATTGGGTTGGTGATATTTTAGGTCAGGTTAATAATAATTTGCTGCAAAAACTGAATTTACTGAAATCATTCACTTAATCTATTTTTTATCTTTTTTTCCGTTTAATGTAGTTATAGCAATTCAATGCGCACCCCAGTGAATGAATACAAGAGGTTTAATCAGAAAGGGAGGCATCTATTCTGGACACTGGCCTGTAATAAGTTTAACAGGGTTTTACAGATTTGATGAGTAATTTTAATTAGCTTTCAATTAATCGCAAACCGCAGCTGAAGAGGAGTTCACACACGCACAACAGGGATGCGTGCACACACACACACACACACACAAGTGCACCTTGAGACACACACACACACACACACACACACACACACACACACACACACACACACACACACACACACACATACACAACCTGAGTACGTCTAAGCTTGTTTTGTTGCTGTACTTGTCTTTCAAGTGTTTTTTTTTCATCCTATCAAGTATTTTCTCCTGTCTGTAAACTATAGATGGGTAGCTCCAACCAAACTTTAAAAACAACAATGTTTTGTAGATTCAGCTGTCATAAGTTGTAAGGTATTCTCCGTGGTGTATGAAGGTCTCTTACTATCACGTTCAACGTCAAAGTTTTGTCTGACCTCCTTTTCAGATGCTGTAACCCAGTTAGATTGAGGATTGATTTTCTAAATGACTCACTTTACAAAGCTTGGATGTAGTTTCTAGCAGCAAACAGACACAACATACAGCAAAACATGTTTTCTCTTTTGTAAAAGAATATAACTCAGTTTGGTTTCTAAACAGATAAATTGTCCCATCTAGTGGTGAACTGGGAGACTAAATGATTCATGAACAAAAAGTCCAGTCTGCTATTTGAAGTGGTCTGATGAAATTGTATTGGGTTTTTTTGTGTGTGAAATATTTGTATTACAGCACAATGTTTAAAGAAGTCACAGACCAGAGATAAAACTCCTGTAACTGCCCAAACAATGTTTGGGCTTAACGACCTGATTCTGTTTAAGCTGATCTGTCAGTTTCTCTTATCAGAAACACCTTGGAGATCATTTCATACAAATATTTTGTGTCCAAATACTGACAATTCCTCCTTCGTCCTTCCACCTTCGCTTCTGATTCTACCTGTTTACTGCACCGTAACACCTAACCTTTACGCTGCCATGTAATATTACCCAAGCAGCCTTTGACAGATTCATAACGTCTGCATGCTGAGTCACCTAAGGCCTACACACTCTGACACTTTAATACCTCAGGAGTTGTTTCTGTGTCCTTAAAGTCTCATAACATATTCAGGTTCTATTCATTTAAGTCATTATAACAACCTCATGATACAGGGTCAGCATTTTAGATAGTACATTTTACTTTGGAACAGCACATTTACTGCATAATGATACCAAGAATGTCTGAATGTGAAATGTGTTGAGTGATGTGTTTGGTCATACATATGGTCATCCAATATGTCTCACATTCCTGGATCTGCAAAACTGTGTACGTTGTAAGATGTCAAGAAGATTGTAGTGTAGCTGTCGATATTTTCTGCGCCAGTGACACCATCTGTTTCTCATTGTCCTGGTTATTCATCATGGTAATGCCTCTAAGTTTGATTTTTTGTTTTAAATTTCAGAGAAAACAGGCCAGTATCAGTAATCCAGATGTTGGCTTCCCATGCTGTTATGCAAGCTTTTAATTCCAGGTTTCAGTGAGGAGACTGTCATGGAAAGCAGTAAAGTTGAGTTAAAAAACAGAATATCATGTGGGGGTTCTCTGGTATCTGTCTACAGCTTTTAAACACATACTGTGCATGTAAACATGCAAACCCTCATGACTACACATGTCCTATGCATAGTAATGGAGCATACATTGAAGCTCTACATGAAGGTCATGGGAAATGTTCCAGAAAACACACCTGTATGAGTCGTCATCCACCCAGTTGTACTGACCCTCATTACCATTGGTCCAGCTCCATCCCTGGAGGCCATGATGAACCAATAGAGGTGTGTGTTACCACATTCGGAGCGGGTATTGCCTGTGGTGGAAAGTTTAAAAGAGAGCGTGTGTCCTGCTGTCCCTCAGCAGAAGCATCAATCAACATGATCCCCATTGTGCTGGCCTCAGTGCTCATTGCTAGCGGTAAGAACATCTGGCTAATTCTGTGTGTAATTGTCTCTGTGTGTTTGCAGGCTTGTGTGAGTGAGTGTATGCCTACATCTTTCCACACAGGGAGCAAGTTCTATGTAATTCTTTATTGAAAAGAAAAATGATACCTGATGTGGGAATCAAAAATATTTTCATTGTTCTCCTTCCTCATGAACACTCCCTTTCTCATATTCATCATGTTTATTTTCTTTTTGTCCAGCCCTTGGGTGCGGCACCCCACCCATTGAGCCCCTGACTTCCCGTGTGGTCAATGGAGTAGATGCCAAGCCCCACAGCTGGCCCTGGCAGGTATGCTAATATGTACACATCTGTCAATGTTTTTATGTTTACTGGCAAACCTTATGGGTCCGGCATCTGCTCATTAGATTCAAGACCCAGTGGCTATTGAAAATTCTGTAATTAAATGGTTGTTTTTGAATTAAATCAGCAAACTATGCCATCCATCTATAGATCCACAACCTGCTTCCTTTATGTTGTCCTGTTTTTGTCTCCAGATCTCTCTGCAGTATGAGAGGGACGGTGTGTGGAGGCACACTTGTGGGGGATCTCTGATTGCTGCCAACTGGGTCATGACTGCTGCTCACTGCATCAAGTACGAGCAGCAGAGCAACATAAACACACAAACACAAGAACACAACCACCAATACCCACACACCAACAAGTCACATACACACACACACACACACACACACACACACACACACACACACACACACACACACACACACACACACATATCTTCTGTTAAATGTACTGTACTTATTCTGCACCACACCATTTGATTAATTCTGGAGCCTAAACCCTACTTAACCCTCATACAAATGAGGATTGGGCAAGTCATGAACTCCAAAGGTTCCCAACCCAAATGTCACTTAATGAAAGCACACTCAAGGTCATCTGGACCACAGCCCAGTTCAAATCTTACCATCACATTTAACCATCAGTTTAAGCTTATAAAATCATTGAACTGTGCCCTAAATATTCTGTCTGGTTTAGCATTGTCCTCAACAGTCTGTTCTCTACCCCAGCACCAAGTTGTCCTACAGGGTGTTTGTGGGAAAATACAACCTGGTCGAGGAAGAGGCTGGCTCCAAGGCTATCCTGCCTGAGAAGATTGTTGTCCATGAGAAATGGAACCCCATCTTTGTGGCCTTCGGGTAAGACAAGCACCGCCGTACAGTACAAAGAGCAGTCTGAGTCGCCTGCTGCGACATACAGTACATCATAAGCTGTTCTGTGTCAAGGTGAAAAAGTGGGCTGAGGCTCAAATTCCATTAATTCCTTTGGTCCAGCACATACCTTACACACAAGTTACAACCCCCACACTTACAATATGCAGCTGGACAAATTAGAGCGATAAGCTCCGCCATTGAGATGATTTATTTGAATTTATAGACATGAGTACAATGAGAAAGAATGCATTCTCATTATCTTATCTAGCTTTGTTTCTTCTCCTTATTGGCCCTGGTGGAAGATTTTAAATTGCATGTCAGTACAACCACCTCCATAAGTCTTTCTCTCTTTCCTGCAGTAACGATATTGCCCTGATCAAGCTGTCAGAGTCTGTGACTTTGAGTGACCAGGTGCAGTTGGCATGTATCCCTCCTGCTGGCACTGTGCTGTCCAACCTCTACCCCTGCTACATCACCGGATGGGGCAGGCTGTACAGTAAGTCACCATTTGTGGAAGACAGGAGTGTGTTTATGTGTCTGTCATTGTATTTTTTTTTTTCAGCTTAGCATCTCTGAAATGTTACTGTGCATGAGGATGTTCAACTGGTGCGCAAGCATTATGTTTGGATTTATAACCAGCGGTGTGTTGGTGTGTGTGATCAGGGTTACCCAGGGAAACCAAAGTTGGGATGAAAATCACATGCATGAGGTTTTAGTTGAAACTTTTGGTTTTTTTTGGGGGGGGGGGATTACTCTTAAATTGAAAATTTGGGTCAGACTGTAAATTTGGCGCTTGGGGAAATGCTGGAAAGCAGATTTGACAGAAGGCTAGTGTGTGTGGATGATGGTAATAGACTCTGCCTGTGTGTTTTAGCCGGAGGCCCCATAGCTGATAAGCTGCAGCAGGCTTTGATGCCTGTGGCTGACCATGCCACCTGCTCCCAGCCTGACTGGTGGGGTATTGCTGTCAGGACTACCATGGTGTGTGCCGGTGGGGATGGAATCGTTGCTGGATGCAATGTACGTTTGTGCTATTTCTTTTTTTCCTCAAAAAAATTCTGAATTATACCTACGTTGTAAAGCTTGTATTGTATGCTTTATCAATGCTGTACTTTATTATGCTGAAGCAAAATTTTAATTGAATGCAATGAGTATGATCAATTAAAGGAATCGGGGGGAGATTTTTTTTTCATCACCCTCATGTGTTGTCTAGCTGTTAAGGAACATGAAAAATGTTACTTGGTGAATCAATAATACTGATTGTGTGAAGCCCTCCTCTCTTTTTCTCTGTATCCAGGGTGACTCCGGCGGCCCTCTGAACTGTAAAAACACCGAGGGCGTCTGGGAGGTTCATGGCATTGCCAGCTTTGTCTCTGGCCTTGGCTGCAACTATAAGAAGAAACCCACCGTCTTCACCAGAGTGTCCGCTTTCAACGACTGGATCGACCAGGTATTGGAGACACACAAACATATTTGAATTCTGGTTTACAGTAAATGCTGTATTTCAATCATTGATTGAATAATTTGCTTTCAGGTTATGATGAACAACTAAAGAAGATAGAATGTCAATAAAAAAGACTCAGAAAACTGCATTTGTCTTGTGTGCAATGTGTGTGGATTTAGCAGACTCTCACATCTACAAACACACATCCAGATAAATAGTGAATAAATGCTAAACTGGATTAAGCCACATTAAATGAGTTTCCTATGAGTGTGACTAAAAGTGGAAACAATGTCAACAAATGTCCAGCAGGTGTCCTCATACACTCATGATAGGAAATTGGTTCTGACAGCTTTCCAAAGCAGGAGTATACTGTTCAGAATGACCAGTGTTACTGCTTAGGAAACAGCACAGAGCAAATAGCAAATAGCTCACATAAAACAGGCAGGTGATTCATACAAAATTGTCCATCTGCAATATGTCAAATAACACCAAGTTGCTTTTGATTAGAGTTAATGGTGTGTGTGCGTACGAAATAGACCCTTCATATAAAATATGAATCTAATATCCCTGCTTGAAACTGACCTGGTTTGTCCCCGTGCCCTCGCTACAGGAGGGCTTTTATGAAAACCATAATACTCATCTGGGGAGTCTATCTTTCCTCATGATAACAGTTCTCTGAAAATGAAGAAGGCTAGAATGGCAAAGTTGAGATTAACACTTCTGTCATTTTTTCCCCCCTCACTGTGATGAGATGAGGATGAGACAGTAGGAGGGAGGAGGATTAAGAATGAAATTAAATTGCCTCTCACTTCTTTCTTTTTTTTATGTCACTCTTTCTCTTCTCTCTCAGTTACAGTTGCGAGACTCACGCAGACGCACACACTGATTTTTTGTTTTGACAGGGTAATGGAGGTGTGCGAGTGTCTTCATTGACATGAGAGGCAGTGATCAGACATGACACTTCCAGCAAGAGCAAATAATAATGACTGAGCATTGTGTGTGTGTGTGTGTGTGTGTGTGTGTGTGTGTGTGTGTGTGTGTGTTAAGAGCAGACAGAGGGAGGGATAGGGAGTTTTACTGTGTGGATCCCTGATTCTCTATATTTGGGCTATATTTGAGTGCATTTCTCTGATGTGATGAATCACTCTTCTGAAGCACTTTTCTCTGGAGTATCGGCCTCTGATCATTGATAACTATCCCATCTAAGTGCTGCTCCCTTACTAATTCAGTCTGATTTGGATGAAAAATGAAGGTATCCACGAATATTGCCTGTCTTCATTTGAAGTGCATCCACAAAAATAAACCCATACAGTACAGCCCTTTGTTTTGTTACAGTACACAATACTGATAACATAACATATAATTCATGAGGAATCCTTTAATACTGAGTCCAGTAATTCATCAACACTTAAAAAATTTAATAAAATAAATAGGTTCAAAGTGCCTTTTCATGTGCATTTTAAACATTATAATCACATGTTGTGATCCAGTGTTTTAGTATCGATTGCATTTTTGGCTTATTTAGTGCTGCATTTAATTCATTCATTCATTTAATTTCATTTATCAAGCTACTATATCTGGCAGTTATTACACACAGTGTGGTCAGTCACTACATTTATATTCAATTTAAACACTGAACTTGTGTGTGCACCAGTGCAGCACTTCGATTAAACTGCAGCTCTCTGGATCTCTTCTTGCAAAACTCTTTTTCTGAAGCCACTGGTGAGGGTGAGAATGAGGCCTCAAAAGAATGCTTTGTCTCTGCCTGAACTCTGTGGGTCAAGGTACCCCACTCCCATCCCACACACACACACACACACACACACACACACACACACACACACACACACACACACATCCTCTCTCTCTCTCCCTCTCTCACACACACACAGACAAAGAGAGGGAGACAGAGAGAGCCAAGCAGAATCCCTCAGGGACAGCCTGCTGTTGTGCTGAATACCAATGAAAAAAAGAGGGGGCAACAAGTTTTAAGTTTGTGCAGCTGCTATTCAGCTTCATGCAACTTGTTTTAAGTGTACTAAGCAGGGGAGAAGGTGTTTGTAATTCACTGCAGCTCTCCCCGTATTAAGACCATAATACTCTTGTTACTGTGCACTTTTGAAATGAGTCCTTCAGCATTTGACTTGACAATAAATTCATTTTGCTATATCTCTACAAGAATACATTATTGTTAGTGTCAGTGGTGAAAGTAACTACATTTACTTAAGTACTGTACTTAATTACAATTTTAAGATACTTGTACTTTACAGGAGTATTTCCATTCCCCACTGCTTTATGCTTCAACTCTCACTACATTTATCTGTCAGCTTACAGATACCCCCAGGCATGTTTTGACAAGTATATAAATTCCTCTCCTTTGAGTAATTTGTATCTGATCTTTTCACACAAAATGTTCAATTATCTTGTTAAACTCTTTCCAATGACATTTACTACTCCTCATTTCTATAAATATAAGTTTAACTGCTGGACAACAGGTGTTTCCTACTTTACTGTAAAGTCCATTCTCAGTGTATGTGCATTGGAGGCTTCACGTTTCCACATCACATTTTTGTGTTAAATATTAGACCAGGATTGGCTTCCGAATTCTTTGTGATGTCACAAATGATGTTTGTAGGCTCGCCCTTGAAAATGGTATTTTCAGTGAGCACACAGAAACTTGAGACATCGTTTTAATGTCACATACATCATTCTGTAAAGTGAAGCTCAAACATTCAACTGTAGAAACAAAAAGAAAAACATATTTTTGAATGGGGAGGGACTTTAAGTTCCATTGAATATTAAATTATGATGTATAATTATAGGTTAAGATAAGACTTTATTGATCCAGAGTTGTAAATTCTAAAGCTACATAGCTGTATATAACGTAGTTCAAATTACCCTAAACATTTATGTGATGAAACGGGCCATTCTGCATTACTAGTGATTTTGGTAATTTAAGTTTATTGTGATGCCAATTTTGTACTTTTACTTAAGTCTTTTATTTGTAAGAGTGCAACTGAGTAAGATCTGAGTACTTACTTCAACACTGGTTAGCAATTGTGAGTGCACCCATAGCTCTTTTTCTTCTTCTTTGTATTCTTTTTCTTCTCCAGGCTTCTGAATGTTGCTTGTGTTTTGCATGTTACTGTTTTCCTGTCCTGTCCTGTTTGGGTTGTTGTTGTTGTTGACCATTTGCACTGTGCAAACGTGTTGACCACAGGATCTTGACAGAGGTGCGCGAGTGTAAAAGCCCTTGATGGGATGTTCCTCGAGCGTTCTTTGTATAAATAGCTCGGTAGTAACAGACCGGGAGAGGGAGGGCAGGACGGAGAGGGAGGGATGGTTGGAGGAGGGGAGGGACTGGGAGATGACGAGCAGCCACACTGACAGCAGCATCTCCGCTCTGTCGCCCCGCGCCCGTCAGCAGTCATTGGGAACCGGCCGGGACTCCGCCAGCTTGACTTCATTAACAGTCCGATGCTGACCGTCCGCGCGCGCACATTGCCAAACGCTCGAGCAGAGTTTGCTGACCTACTTCGAGACAAAAGTTCCCGCTTCACAAACAATTTGGTGAAGTTGCAGAAGACCGGTGCTCGTTTTGAATATATTTTTTTTTATAACAACGCGTTTTGCAGCGTTGTTGCGCGCGCGGACTATAAGCGCGAGGACACCGGACACCAGAGGGAAGAATTAGGTAGGCTGTTGTATGAAATGTGTATGTGTTTATAGTCATACTGCAAGCATATAAAGCGAGCAACATATTGGAATACAATCAAATGCCATCCAGTGTTTCTTGGAGTGTTTTCACCTTAACTTAAGTCCTATTGTACATAATATTTAGAAAATGACTTTTGTTTCGTGCATTAAGGGACGTTAATCTCATATCTTTACATTAATTGCCCTCATTAAGACAAAAGTTCTTGAAGGTATCTTAAAATTGTATGCAATGTATAATGATTTTGTTAAAATACCCACAACTAAAACAGTAATAAGCATAGTTTTTCCCCTATAAGTCTGATTATGCCCAGTTGGACAAATCAACAATTATTTGTCTGCTCAAGTGTTAAATAGTAATAAATAGCATCAACACTCAACTTCACAGTGAACTTGTGGCCATGCAGCTTCTCATATTAGCTGGGGAGGAAGGAAGTCCAGTCACATGAGACACTGCAAGGTGATGCATTATGCACAAGTATTTTGTTTTCCATGTGGTCCCTGCAGGTGCAAGTTGAGTGTGGCTGCATGTAGTTCCCATTTGACTGCTCCTGTAAACACACATTGTTTGGCATGTAAGCTAGCATTTGCATCAATTTACATTAGATTGTTGAATGTATACACAAAAGGCCTTTATGCTGATCAGTGGGACCATTCACAGACTCTAACATGCGAGCACAAGCACAACACTCATGCTGTATTTTGCAGTTGCATGATTCCAGTCTCAACCTAAAGTTCAACAATTTCCTGCTACAGCCACAGAGCACACAGCCATTACATAACAAACAGACTGTAGTTGTCTGTGTATTGATCGTGGCCTAAGGGAGCGTGTGCATGTGTGTTTATGTATGTTTGTGTGCAGTCCGTCAATCGTGTGCTGTTCTGATCTTTGAACCTTTGAAACTAAAACAAACATCATACAGACTTCTGAATCAGTGAAGTGACTCACTGACACATTATGAATGAGGTTGAGCGTATTCCATCTCAGAGCAATAAGGCTTCAAATGGACAACAGCGTTCACCAGATATCTTTTACCTGTCAAGAGCAGTGATGCATTAAATTTGTTAGAAATGCACAAAGAAAACCTTTTTTTTTGTAATATCAGTTCACCAATTACCATCATTTATTTGGTAACATTGGGTTGTTAATGTTCTGTTTGAATACATTTGCTTTCTTTTGTCGCTAACAGATCTAGTGTTCAGAGGAAATGTATTTATCTTGCAAATGAGAACAAATTATCCTTGTAGTTATTAAAACATGAACCACAATCTACTTTGAGAAGTGTGGGTTATGAAAATGTGTTATAATTGGTGATAATGAATAACTTGTGTGACTGCTGTATGCTTCTTGTTATATGCACCACTGGTTGTCTGAAATCAGTATCAGCATGCAACCAGTCGTCTGTTCTAATACATTGCTCACACTCATTTG